GGGGAGCTGTGCAGGGAAAAGCATGAGCTGTGAGACCAGCCACTCATTGACCCTGAGCACATGGGCAAGACCCATCAGCCAGGCATTTGGGAACAAATTCTTTATAGTAATTGGGAGGCCACCCAATCTAGTGTCCCATCACTGGCCATTGGAGATATTTGTTGCTAGCAGTCATAGATCAGCTACAAGCCATTGAATATAGACTCATCATGCTGTCCCCTGCATAAATGTATCAAGCTGAATCTTGTAGCCAGTTAGGTCCCCCCCGATAGATTAGGTTATATCAGTTCCCTTGATAATATGCAGTTCCCAGAGACCTTATACAATGTCAGTACAAGTGTCCATTGTAAGAAGTGTAACAGTGTCTTGTTTGTTTTTTTCTCCCTGCAGCACTTTGCCTAGTCTCGATGCTCCCTACCCCATGTTAATATTAGTTGGCCCCTTGTCCTGTGGAAAGCGGGAACTTTCTCACAGAATTTGCAGACAGTTCAACAATTTCTTCAGATACAGGTAAATTTACTCCATCTGTTTAAGACCCCACGGAGTGTTGTCAAGGTTCAAATTGTTGCTTATTTTTTTAAAAGGTAAATATTGCAGAAGACTTGATAAATGGTCATCTCATGGCATTGTGTCTCCTACTAGATCTAGGCTGTCCAAAGTCGTCATATAATATCTCCGTATTTTTTAATATACTGTTTCAGGTATCAAGATTCCTTTAAAGGTGAACTGTAAAGCAAAAAAGATGCCTTTTTACTGTTCCTTTGATCTGTCTGTCCATCCACCCATTCATTGCCACTTTTTCTTTAATTCATGTTAATGTGCCCAGTGTCACAGTTCAGGCCAACTGCACCTGTAGGTCCCCTGAGGGGTTCAGCAAGGACACCTACTCTTGGCTTCTAGCTCCCCCGCCTACTGCCTTTCTGGATGGAGGCCCACGTCTCTCCCCCTTCAGAGCTGGATGTTCCCAACCTTCACTGTGTATTTCTCAACACACCCGTTGCCCAAGGATGCCTGCTTGCTTTCTCTTCAGAGATAGAGTGATTGTCAACAGATATAAGATGCCACACAGCACTTCCTAGGAAAGCCTGCTTTATTCTGAATATACAAAGCATTAAAGAAGAAATGTACTAACTAAAGCAATAAAGCGACGAGGAGTCCTGTGGCACCTTATAGACTAACTGAAGTGTAGGAGCATAAGCTTTCGTGGGCAAAGACCCACTTCGTCAGATGCAGGTCTGCATCTGACGAAGTGGATCTTTGCCCACGAAAGCTTATGCTCCTACACTTCAGTTAGTCTATAAGGTGCCACAGGACTCCTCGTCGCTTTTGCAGATTCAGACTAATACGGCTACCCCTCTGATACTTAAAGCAATAAAAGAAACGTACATGTATCCCAAAAGTTTGCCAGCGTAACCTCCAACCCTAACTTGGCTTCTGGTGGGCCCAGTCCCTCAATCCCTATCCTGAGGTGGACAAGGAGTCCTGTCCATTTGCTGGATCAGGAAGAAGACCATGACTCAGTTAAAGACCCCCCTATTTATCCCAAAATGCTTTCCTTTTCTTTTGGCCCCTGGACAGTCCAGTTGGAACTAGTATATGTATACTTGGCCGGAGTGGGGTAGGGGGAGAACGTTACAATCTCAGTGAATTTGCCTAATCATCCCCTGCTCTTCTCATATTTACATTTCCCAGGGAAATACATACAATTCCACGATAAGATATACACAATTACATTTTAATACAATGAACTCAAAAGATGTTAAAATTAATTCTTTGTTTAACTGAATTCAAGAAATTATCAATCTGCTACACCCCACTATAAAAGTGTTAGGTGCACTGTATGGTGCATTTACCTATTGCATCCAGACACAAATAGAATGCCCGTATTGTGACTGAACTATTGCAGTACACTTTCTCTGGCTAATGCCCACAAAGTAGGAACCCTCCATTCTTCACCAATTGTCAAGCCTAAACTTCAAGGTAGCTGAACCAGTGTAATATACCTTTTGCAGCTAATTCTGACAAAGCAAATGGGCATCCTTCCTTCTTCGCCAGCTGTAACTTAAACATTTCAAAGATAGTGCTATATATCGTACATATTGCAGTAATTTGTGCAGCCATGTGTTATCGGCACTCATCTGTCCTCCGATTCTCTCCGTTTGCTATACTCACTTATTGCATTTAGTCTTATTTTAGATTGTCTTTTACTATGGCAGGGGCTGTCTATTGCTGTGTATACTTACAGTACCTAACACAATGGTGGCTGCAGAGTACTAATGTAATATGTCATGCGAATAGAGCTCTACGTGCATATATAATAGCTGACAATGTAGAAGTGACATTAGTTCTTTGGATGCCCAACACCATACAATCCTAAATTGAGTATCAGTGGTACAATATCATAGGCACTTCCTTCAAACTAAGTCCTATAATGTGCAGATGGTGTGCTCTGTGTTTGTAATATGTTATAATACTAGATTGACTCACATGACTAGCAAGTCCAAAGGATTTTTTGACAGAAGAGCTGTTACAACATTAGAAAATCAAATGTGTAGAGCCCTGCAAATCCTCAGTTATCCATTTTATATACACAGGTATCTGCATCCGCGGATGTAGATGCGGATATCCGCAGCTCATTTTTGTATCTAGAACCAATCATATTTGTGGCTATCCGCTTTATATACCATGCAGGTATCTGTGACTCATTTTTGCAGATACAGACACGGATACAAAGTCTGTAGCCGTGCAAGACTCTACAAAGGTGATGCATACTAAGTGTTTTGAGAACCAGCTTGGAAATTTCAACTAATTGAATACTAGCCCAATTTTTTCAAACACTTATCTGTTTTCCAAAGGCATTGTTTTTTTATATGTATTATTACTCAAAAGTTTAATGTATGAGAAAAAAGGAGACAGAGAGAGAGATTTTAAACAGAGTAGAACATTACAACTACAAAGCAAAGTCATATTTTATTCAGTGGAAATTTTAGCAATTTTATAGCTTACTGTTTTAAATCTCGAACATTCCACTATTAAAAATGCATTTCATGTAAGCTAACCTGGCAGTTCAAATGTGAGCATGGCCTTGCAATTAAAAAAGTTGTAACAGGTAAAACTCTTTCAAAAAATAAATAAAATGAAATTGGACACTGAGACCATCTGGTTTTTACTCAAGAATGATTGTTAAAGCTGGATGTGTATAATATCTTTGAGAAAAATCAAGCCTTTGAAGTGAACATTTTATATGGTCCATGTGCACCACAATGTTCTCATTTGCCATAGTTTATTGATAAAATAGTGGCACATATTAGTGCTGCAACAGTTAAGGATCTATCAGCCTCCACTTTATAAACTTCATTTCCTAGCAGTGTATAACTCAGTTGTATCAAAGACAAGAGTTTACTCCACATTAAATCTAAGATCTCAGTACTGGAAAAAATAATAAATCTCTCCCCCAGCCCTGATATTTATTTATTTAGAGGTGTAATAACAGGAGTGTTGTATGTAAGACAAGAGAAGTAATTGTCCTGCTATGCTCAGCATTGGTGAGGCCTCACCTGGAAAACTGTTCAGTTTTAGACACCACAATTTATGAAAGATGTGGACAAATTGGAGAAAGTTTGGAGAAAAGAAACAAAAATGAAGAAAAGTTCAGAAAACCTGACTCATGAGTTAAAAACTGGGACATGTTTAGTCTTAAGGAAAGATGACTGAGGAGAGACCTAATAACAGTTTCAAATATTTTAAAGAGCTTTTTAAAGAGGACAGTTGTTCTCCATATCCACTCAGTGTAGGACAAGAAATAATGGGCATAATTTTCACAAAGGGAGATTTAGGTTAGATTAGAAAACACTTTCAAAATGAAAGTAGAGAATAGCTTATTTTATTTAGGAGCTCATAGAATCCCCCTCATTAGAGGTTAAGTACAGGCTAGACAAACATCTCTCAGGGATGGTCAAGATCTTGCTTTTGCCTGGGAGGTATGAACTAGTTCTGTGTTTCTCAACCCATGGGTCATCGTGACCTAAAACTGGGATGTAGGAACAGAGGAAAGAGTTGTGGCTGCCTGGAGACCTGAAAGGGGAGCCTGGAGCCCTGTTGCCCAGGGCCGAAGTCGCAGAGGTAATGTAAAATCATGGAGCCAGTGACCTTTGTGACCCATTTGTAGCCTCATCAATAAGACAATTGAATGCAAGGTGGGAAGAGTTATGGAAAACAAGTGATCGATGTGGAACTTCCAGTGAAGAGTGTGTGTATTAATCACAACGTGAGCCTTTAGGCAGAGAAATGGATACATTTTTAAATTGTTCTGTTGCAACTGCAAGTACCAGTGATAATAAGAGTTCATCACCACCCGATAAGAAAATTAATCATATATACGACACTACTTACTTAAAATTTGGGTTTTCATGTATTGAGGACTGAAATGGTGATCACAGGCCACAATGTGTCATCTGCAGTGAACTGTTAGCAAATGAAAGCCTAAGACCAACGAAGTTATATATTTTTTCCTCATTCCTCCCTTTTAAAAACCTTTCATACTTGAAAAATGTTATCATTTATTATTTGACTGAATAAATCTAATTTTATCCATCTTCCCTCATTGGTCACTTTCCTAGACCTTTAATCAGTTTTGTTATTCTTCCCTAGACAAATCACTCTAGCTATAAAGACAAATTTTTTTAAATGAAAAAGCAAAGATTTGAAAATGTGTATCTGCTATCTAGGAGCAAGCATTGTGTGTGCCTCTTACCTTGTTGCACACTGCATTGTGAAATGTAAAAAAGTTCACAGTCACGGAGGAGTTAATTTTACCTTCTTCTAATGACATGTTAACTGAATTGTTGGAGGAGTCAGCTGAATAAAAATAAAAACAATCCCTCTCTCTAGTGATACAATACAGAGAAGAATCTGTTAAGTTAATTTTACCTTCTTCTAATGACATATTAACTGAATTATTGGAGGAGTCAGCTGCATAAAAATAAAAACAATTCCTCTCTCTAGAGATACAATACAGAGAAGAATCTGTTCTATCTCAGAAAACATCAACCTGTAAATAATGATCACCTTTCAGTAAGTGGCCGTTTTGCTTTACAATTAGATGAATCTACAGATGTATCAAATAATGCTATATGGGAAAATGATTTTCAAGAATCATAGAATGGTAGGGCTGGAAGGGACCTCAATTATCCAATCCCCTATGCTCAAGGCAAGACTAAATATTATCTGTTATCCATGACAAGTGTTAGTTTAGTCTGCTTTTAAAAATCTCCAATGATGGAGATTCTATTACATCCTGGGATAATTTGTTGCAGTGTTTAACCACTCTGACAGAAAGTCTTTCCTAATGTCCAGCTTAAACTGCCCTTTTTGCAAGTTGCTTCATCTTATCCTCAGAAGTTAAGGAGAACAATTTTTCCCTTTCCTCCCTTTAACATCCTTTTAGGTACTTGAAAACTGTTAGCCTGTCCCCTCTCAATCTTCTCTTCTCCAGACTGAACAAATCTAATTTTTTTTCAATTGTCCCTCATCGGTCATTTTTCTAGACCTTCAATCATTTTTGTCAGGGAAGGCTCATTTTAATATCTTTTCTCTGAGACTGCGATGGCAAGATAACTCAACCAGTTGAAATTCTTCCTCTGATGTTTCTAACACAGTTCCAAATGGATCCTGTATCATTCTTCACTCTGTAGTTGTTCATCTGGAAAGTAAGTGCAGATTCTTTTGTGCAATTTAGTTAAATGATTACTGATTATTTTCTTCAGTGCTTCCTGGCTAGTAGAATCTTTCCAATACACTTTTAAGTTCTTATACATGAGACAACACTTTACCATGGAACAGCCAGCAAAAGTCAGCATGGGAAAGCCGATGTACATGTGCACTGCCCGTTTCCTGACAGAGAACTGGAAAACAACTATAGAGTGAAGAATAGGGTTGCCAGGTGTCCTGTATTGACCTGGACAGTCCGGTATTTTCGCCTCCTGTCTGGTAAAAAAAAAAAAGAAAGAAAGAAAGAAAAAGAAATTCAGAAAATACAAGACACCTAAAATGTCTGTTATTTTCTGATTTCTTTTCCCTACCAGGAGGCGAAAATACTGAACACCTGGCCCATATTCAGCAACCTGGGTCCCCCCTTTGCCTGGACTCCCCGCTGGGCCCCCCAGACCTCTCATCCCCCCGCTTACCTGGTTCCGCAGGGGAGCTCTCTTGTGGCTGGAGCAGAAAAACAAGATGGCCACCAGCAAACAGCCTCTTCTTAAAGGGACCATGCTGGGGGTTTGTGTGTGTGTGTGTGTGTGTGTGTGTGTGTGTGTGTGTAATAACTGCTGCCAGCGTCCTTTTTTCTTTGCTCAACAAGTTTGGTCTCCCCCTTTTTTTTTTTCCTCAACAGAATTTTTTTCGGGGGGGCGGTGTTTGGTATTTTTGGTTAAACCATCTGGCAACCCTAGTGAAGAATGATGCAAGATCATTTGGAGATGTGTTAGAAAACTCAGAGAAAGAATCTCAACTGGTTGAATTATCTTGCAATTGCAGTCTGCAGAGAAAATATACTAGAATGAGCCTTCCCCAGTTTTGGTGTAGTGCTGTTGTTGGAATATCTTGCTCTTGCATGCCATGTTATTAGTCATTTTGCCTGTCATCTTAATGCATTTGTGAGAAACTGGATTCTCTGCCCTGACTCAATTGAAGAACAAAAGCAGAAACAGATTGGATCTTGAACATGATTTTCAGATTGTGCTGATTACAATTACACCAAACTTTGATAAACTCATCAAAAAGCAGCAAGCTCAGGTTTTTCATTAAATGGATCCTGGGATTTATTATAGCATTAACGAGATCCTATGGATGTTGATTACTGCCTTTAACTTTGATTATTGATCTGCTTTTTCTTTGTTTGTTTATTTATTTATATTGCATATAGTAGGTATTAAATATTTTGGGGGACAGAATACTGGTGTGTTTTCTACTTAAGCGATTGACTGGGGTGGAATTAGCCATCAATGTTTACAAATGGGCCCTACTCCAAAAAGAGTTGAAAATCATTAGATTAGTTGGCTCTCGAGGTTTCTTCCAGTCTTAGGTTTCTGTGATCGCATGAATAAAATTACAGGGAAATAAGACGATTGTTACAAGATTTTCTTTACAAAAACTCAAATGAAAACAAGGGCCGTGTTGATGTGTTTTTAAATTTGTATTGCTGTGGCACCTCGGAGCCATAGTCATTGACTAGGAATCCATTGTGCTTGGTGTTGGCCTGTTTTTGGTGTTAGGAGTTTACTGAAACACTTGTGGGACAAAAAAAGAGAACTGAAAGAAACCTAATGAATTCAAAGTCAGATGCGAATGGTACTCAGATAGTTTTGGCACAGAAAGTAATAGACATACAAGGGTCAGATTCTTCACCGTAGGATCCTTTTACACCATTCTGGCGATGTAAAAGGGCCTCAGTATAACTGAAAACCAGGCTCACAAGTATTCTATTTATCAGTTACCCAATATCCATCCCCAAATACGACTTGTTAGTGTCATGCTTGACAATGAAATCTGGGTGCCCAAACTCACAGACTCATGGCCTAGACCAGTGGTCCCCAACCTTTTGGGGCTGCCGAGCACCCAGGGGCCGGGCCACTCACGCGCCGGGCACCGGGGAGCGGGGCAGCACACGTGCCCAGGGGCGGGGCTGCGCACGCGCCCAGGGGCAGGGCCACCCTTACGCTGCATGCCCAGTGCTGGTGCCACCTATGCGCTGCACTCCCGGGGCCGGCGCTGCTCTTGTGCCGCACACCCAGGAGCCAGCATCACCCACGCGCTGCACGCCTGGGGATGGCGCTGCTCCTGTGCTGTGTGCCCAGGGGCGGGGACACCCATACAACTGTGTGCCCGGGGCTGGCACAGCCCATGCACCGCACGCCCAGGGGCGGGGCCACCCATGTGCTGCGTGCCTGGGGCTGGCGCCGCCCCCGTGTCGCGTACCCGGGGCAAGTGCCACACCTGTACCACGCACCCAGAGCCCGGCACTGCCCATACATCACATGCCCGGTGCCGGCACAGCCCTTGCACTGTGCACACGGGGACAGGGCTGCCCATACACCGTGCGCCCAGGGACCGGGGCCACCCATACGCCGTATGCCCGGTGCCAGCGCCACCCATGCGCTGCATTCCTGGGGCCAGCACCGCTCCTGTGCCGCATGCCCACGAGCCAGCAGTGCCCATGGGCTGCGCGCCTGGGGCTGGCACCGCTCCTGTGCCGCATGCCCACGAGCCAGCAGTGCCCATGCGCTGCGCGCCTAGTGCTGGCACCGCTCCTTTGCCACATGCCCAGGGGTGGGCATGCTCATATGCCACACGCCCGGGGCCAGCACAGCCAATATACCGCACATCCAGGGGCCGGCACTGCCCATACACTGCGTGCCCGGGGCCGGCACTGCCCTTGCGCTGTGCACCCGGGGACTGGGCCAACCATACGCTGCGCACCCAGGGGCCAGCACCACCCAGGCACCACGTGTCAGGGGGCGGTGCTGGCCCCAATCAGTCGGTGGGCTCACAGAAACAGCCTGGCGGGTGCCATGGCGTCCGTAGGTACCGCGTTGGGGACCACTGGCCTAGACAGTGCTGCTCCTAACTGTGACATGGCTTTCTTTCATTCTGGGGTCTCCAGTTTGAGGCTTCAAGACCAAAACCTCAGGATACAAGCTGTCCATCCAGTTTTATTTTGCAAAAACTGGTTAAAAGCCACTATCAGTGTTTTAACAACACAGTCAGGATCCACATATTTACATGTGAATATTTTTTGCTATGTTTTGTCTGCAATGGAGCAGTCAGGGAGGCAAAATATTGTCAGTGTAAGTCTATGCTGATGCTCTGTAACATTTTTGTTCGGCTTGGCCTATGGTACAAAACATAGTTAGCAAAGTACCACTTTATAGCAATGGAACGTGACCCACCGTTAAGAGTGACTGAGGACCATATGCTGGGGCTTATGTGCAACAGAATGTGTAGGAAAGGACTGGATCCTTTGAATTAAAATTTCTTCATATGTGGAATTAGCTATTTGGCCAGATTAATATTTGTTTGATCCTCATCTCAAAAGAAAGGTTGTGTGTAAGATCATTCAAACAGTCATTCTTAAATGGTGGTGTTATTTTAAATAGTTACTTTACCTCCCCTATTTCCAGCCAACTTCATTGATTCTAACACTACTCACCTCTTACTGCTGGGGCTGAAGCTTACTACTGCTATCTCTGCCTATTTCTATGAATTTTTTAATCTGTCTCCCACTACCCTTTCCTGTATATAAGATTCCTATCTATCAGCCAGGAGTCAACATAGCAGGAGGAAGAATTTATCACTTTCCTACTTAACAGTGCTGTGACAGCTTCAACTGAAATCATCCTGTGTCTTTGGATTTATAGCCCAAATATAATGTTATATTAATATAGATCTTTTCCCATTGATAGGTTAGTCTTTCGTATATTCAGCATTAGTTGTATGATTTGCACCTCTTTATATTTCTCATATTTCTTCTCTGTTTGAAATAAAATGATTTCTAGTGCTCTTCTTTCCATCTCCTCTACCATCTTCTTAAATGATTGAAAACTTGTGGTTCCTTTAACCTACCGTATATCTTCCAGCCCCTGTCACACCACGAGGGCCTCTTACTTTGGAGAAGACAACAGACTTGATTACTACTTCATTTCTCAGGAGGTGTTTGACAATATGTTGAACATGGTAAGAATTGGACTTGTCTTGGTAGGCCTAATCCTGTAGTACCAGTGAGTTCATGGCATCTCACTAAAACAAAAAAAGTCTCTAAAGGCCTGATTTCTGAAAAAAAAATGAGTTGGATGCATAATTATATAAGCAAATATGCATGTCCAAATAACCCCAATTGCATGTGCAAATCTGATATTTATATGTGCAAATGGCCAACTAGACTGTCTCTTATTATGTGTCACGGGGTGCCCCCACCCTGCACTGCTTGGCCCTGGAGTCGGGCAGTACACTCACGGGCCTGGAGGCCTAGTCCAGCACAAACGCGGGCCCTGAGGCCTAGTCCACGCTCTGGGTGGATGGGGTAGGGGGTCCGGGTCTTTCCTCTCCACCAGACCCCAACCCAGGACCCTTTTAGTGGTGGGTGGTTCCCCCCACTGGCTTGGCGGGGAGTTCTCCCCGAAACGCACCGAGCCCACCGGGGTGTTCCCTGCCCCTTGCCCTGGATTGCTTCCTACCCCAACCCCGTGGCTGATGGAGACCCCACCTGCAGACGCTGGGCTGGCGGCAACCATGCCATCAGCAGGTCTGGCGCAGCAGCGAAGGGGTTGTCCACCATGGCGGGGTGGGCAGCCCCCCGGGGTCGGCATTGCAGGTGCGCTCAGCACAGGAACGGGAACGGCGGCTCATGCACTAGCGGCAGGTCCAGCTGTGGCTCTGGAGGTTGGGCTGGAGCTCCTCCCTCCCCGGAGGCCAGCCCTAACTGAGCTGTTTCTCTGGCCTTTATACTTGGCCTGCAGTTGGAGCATGCCCAGACTGCTGCGGGGGCAGGGCTAGCCCAGCTGGCTCCCTCCTTGGCCAGTGCGGGGCTGGACCACCCCGTCATACTATGTTTAGCTACAGTACTTTTTACAGTGGGGGCACATAGATCCGTTGGAGTTTTTAGGTGCTACTGTAATATTGATAAATAATTGATTATTTGCATATATGAGTACACTGTCTGTTGTTTGTGTGAAGGATAGTGGGACTAGAAAACCTAAAGGAGGCTTGCGGATAGGGTCCTGCCATGTGTCTCAATCTTCTAGGAGCCCTGTGGGGAACACAAGATTTAAAGGGCACAGGATTGTCCTTGGAGGCATTGTACCAGTCTCTCTTCCCTCTCTAGACAGAATGTCTCCAGCTACTGCTTCTGGTGCATCGCTGTACTCTCAAAACAGTTTGGGCTCAAAAAGTCAATGTTAGCAATTAATTGGTTCAGACACAAGCAGAGGACCCTACACCTTCATAAGCCATTGAGCTGCAGTTTAGTGTTTACTTCTCAAGGACAGCATTGTTTAATTTCCAAAGAATATCTTTGGACACACACTTTTGGGCACCAAAGCTTTATTTGCCAAGTTTCACTGTTGAAAATTACTTCCCAAGTACATGTTCTCCTTGCAGGTTTACTCTGTGTATCCACTTTCCTCTTTGGTATCTTCTCTTTTATCCTGTGCTGCCATTCATTTTGATGCACTGTCAAAGGAAGATGCCCCTTGCTTTGGATATTGTGCTTCTTTGCAGAGTGAATGAATAACCAATGTAAAGTTGTAACCTGTCAGCTGCTTGTTTTCAAGGCGCTGATGTTTTATTACTCACAAACAATGTACAAGCCTGCACCTTGGAAGCCTGTTCTTTGCTGTTCTCTGCAAGTTTTGCACCCCGCGTGGCCTTGTTATCACGGATGATTTAGGCTTTGTGGAGCTGTATACTAATGGTAACCGAAGGAGTCTAGAACAATCGCTTTTACTGTGCTTCTTTAGGCAAGATGTTTTCATTACAGTCTTTCCATTGTCATGACACATCACCATTTTAATTTCAGGGGAAATTTATTGCAACCTATAAATATAGCAGCCACTACTATGGATTAGGAAGAGACACTGTAGAATCCATAGCCAGAGAGGGATTGGCAAGCTGTGTTCATTTGGAAATAGAGGTAGGCATTACTATTACTTACTCATTATAGCATTGTCAAAAAAATAAAACGTGGAAACATGGTCATTATCAGTCCAAAAGAATAAAATTTGCATTGTTGTTTCTGCTCTAATTAAATCATTCTCATTATGAGAATTCCTCTCGTGTGTGTATGTGGGGGGGAGGGGGACGATCCAGTGGTTAGCACATTAAGTTAGGACTTGGGAGACCCACGTTCAGTTCCCCGCTCTGCTACAGACTTCCTGTTTGACTTTGGGCAGGTTACTTAGGCCTGGATGTACCAAAGGGATTAGATGTCACTGAGCTGAACATCAAAACACCCCAACTTTTGGGAACCTAGAAAAATCATAGGAACACACTGTGATTCACAAACCCTAAAGCCATGTCTCTACTTGCTGTGCTGGAGATCGATCTTCTGGCATTCAATTTAGCAGGTCTAGTAAAGACCGCTAAATCAGACACTGAGGATGCCCCCAGTTGGCACAGGTTCTCTTCGCAGTTTCAAGGAGTAAAAGAAACTGATGGGAACATTTACTCCTGTCAGCCTCCCACTGTGAAGCTGCGCCAAGCTCTGCTTAAGGTATGTTGACTCCAGCTATGTTATTTACGTAGCTGGAGTTGCGTACCTTAAGCTGACCTTCTGGGTCTGGTGTAGAACTGGCCTTAGTTAGGTGCCTAGGCTCCTCATACAATAAATGGGGAGAGATAGGAGCCTAGGAATACAGTTCACAAAAGCTATCGTACCAGGCAAGGAGATGCCTAAACTAGGCAGAGGAAGATGACCAGAGGAGTGTGTCCTAAGTCCCTCAAAGAAATAGATATCTATGTTGCTTATAACTCATATGCCCATGATTAGGGTACTCATTTTAGATGTGGAAGACACCTGGTTCAAATCCTCCCTCCACTTGACAAAGAGATCTGAACTGAGATCTGCCACCTCTTGGGTATGTGCTGTTATCTCTGGGCTATGGGATGTTCTGTTATGTGCTTCACTCAGTCTCTACCATTGAAGCTTTTAGATCAATAAGTACAGAGTCTTAGGAGTAGGCTGAGTGGAGCCTGGTTCTCCCATACCCTATGTCTACACTGCACGCTTATTTCAAAATAACTCACATTATTTCAAAATAGCAGTGTGCATGTCTACACAGCAAGCCTGTTATTTCGAAACAGGCTTCTTATTCCAACTTCTGTAACCATCATTTCATGAGGAGTAAGGGAAGCTGAAGGAAGAGTATTCTCCCTTCAACTTTCTGCTGTGTAGATAGCGCCAAAAGGCAAGTTAAGTTACTTTGATTTCAGCTATGCAATTAATACAGCTGAAGTTGTGTAGCTTAACTCGATTTTAGCCTGCAGCGTAGACATACCTTGAGTGAATGCACCAGCCACTGAGCTATAGAGTCATTCTCGTGCTTGCCTTCTCTCACTCACTTCCTTTCTCTGGCCCACGTGACTCTTTAATTATTGATCCACAGCAGAACAGCTTCAACAAGAGACTAGCCCATCGCTCAGTGAATAGAGCTCTCACTCGAGTGGTGGTAGATTTTCATTCTAATTCCCTTCTCCCTCTCAGGTGGAAGGAGGACTTGAACCAGGCATCTAAAAGTTATGCCTTCTCTGGCTGTTTTGTGTCAATTTGCCTGAAGAGCCCAATTTTCTAGGCTACCTCTGAGCACTCCTACTGAACCAGACCCTGCCTGTGGTGAGGTAGCCAAACAGCTTTCTTCACTTGGGTCGTAGATTGCTCTGGGACTTGGGGCCTGGCAGGAAGCAGCAGTGTGCATGCACAAAGGCAGAAACATTGGTGCCCAGGGAACTTTTTATTGCAAAAACTTAGGCACTGTGTAAGTTTAGGTGCCTACAAGGTTCAGTGGGATTAGTTTATTATCAATCGTGCATATATTGCCAGAAATGTGCAAGACACTCTATATCAGTAGTTCTATGTCAAAGGGATACAATGAAATGGTCTGATCTAGCAACCTGAGTGTCTATTGTGAGGTATTAGCATCCTCTAATCCCGTTGACTTCAACAGGCATAGAGGATGTTCAGCTTCTCACAGACTAGCACCATAAATTCATAAGTGAAGATAAAATGGACGTGACAGAGTGGGATGAGCCTCATAAAGCTTGAATGCTTCTCTGACTAGGTGTATAACTAAATGATGGAGACATTAGGGCCTGTATATGAATAGGGAAGTTACTTGTGCCTTTATTGGATATTATCAACAGCAGTATTGTAGGCAGCTAGTTAAGAAAGTCCTCTGATGCCAGAGTTCTAAAGTGTGTCATAATTATGCAGCAGTCTGCTTAGCTATGGACTCTACCTGTTGATGACAATCATTAAGTGATTCACCCTATTGAAAGAATGTTTTAATTATGGGTCTTGAGCTGAGGCTAAAAATTTGAGCCATTTAATTCCCTTTCATTTATCACTTCTGCACTGTTAGGTGGTAAAATTTGGCAATGAAATTCCTGTTGTATTCTGCAACACAGTGAGGGGAAATGTTCCAGGGCACTTTCAGGACCCATCCATTGTTTACATGGCCATTGATGCATAGAATTACCCCCATTAGCACGTAGAATTGCAATGGCTGCATGTGCACATTAGACATACAATTTAAGTTTCAATCCTGTTTTTCAGATATATCTTCAGTTTCAAACCCTGTTGGCCTCCCCATTGCCACCCCTCATTTTAGTGATGTCACAGTTTGAGATTTTGATGTGTTTTACATTAGAAGGCACACTCTGTTGCTTTTGTAGACCGAGCTTATTGCAAACCACAGAGGTTCCTTGCATCTATCCATTCTCGCCACCTGGTGTGCCACCCTCCTATCCCTTTTTATTTCAGGGGCATATGTAAGTAAGGCCAGGTCTATGCTACATGCTTACCTGCTTATAAATAGGTCACTCGGAGGTGTGAAAAATCTACACCCCTAATGACCAACTTTAACCCAGCACTATGTTGACTGAATGCTGCAAATTATTAAATTGACAGGAGAGAGTATTTTCACCAGAAGCTCTGTCTTCTCACCTTTGCCTTTGGGAATTTGTATATCCTACATGGTTGTGGGAGAAGTCAGGATGCAGCAGCCTATATGCTACCCAGAGCACGGGGCTGCAGTTTAGTCTGCCCTTACAGATTAGCCTTCCTCCCTTCACCATACACAGCCACATGTGCAGAATTTGGTTTTAAACGTAAAAGACAGTTGATCTGCACCAAGTGCTGTGGGATCCTCTATAAATGTCACGTTTTGTTTGTTTAATGCTATTCAGGTATGTTTAGTCCAGGTGTAATGTCCCACTTATGTAGAATATCAATGGATGTGGCCAGAAATTCAAACTCCATTCACTTACCATCATAAACTACTGTGGTTTAATAAACCTTCATTCTCTGAAAGTTATCAGAGTCCTCGGCATCAGACATTCTGATTGAGAAGAAGATTTTGAAGTTCATTGTAAAAATGCAAGGAGTAAATTCAGTGGTGGTGAAAGTTACATGTGAGGGTGTAAATTTGTTAGAAAATAGTTATAAGAAATGCAATCTTATGACTTCCAATATACAAAACAAAAGGGGCAGGATAGCGTTTAACAGGAGCAACAGTTAACAGACAGTTTTAAAAAATCAGGATGCTTTAAATCAGCAATGAGCTATAGGTTTCCTGGGAACTGTACTCGCTCACTGTGAGATTAATTTGATGCCAGATCTTGAAGGCCAAAGACTTAACTAACTTACCAACAGTGATAAATATAGTCGTTTGTGATATAAGTAAGGAGTTGTTATGAACACAATACATTACTAAGTCATCACTGAGTTTCAGGAATAAATCCTTACTGGGTGCTTTCTCTCTAATCTTAAAGGGTGTGCAAAGTTTGAAAAATACCTACTTTGAACCTCGCTATATCCTATTAATACCAATGAACAAAGAAAAATATGAGGGACATCTACGGAGGAAGGGGCTGTTTAGTAGGCCAGAGATTGAAACTGCAGTCTCCAGAGTGGACATGTATATCAAAATAAATCAAGATTTTCCAGGATACTTTGATGCGGTAATTAACACGGGTGAGTTAACTTCTTTTGTACCAAGAATCTGATTACCCAGCAAGATGCCAATGGATACCTCAAAACTGCTATGGAGTAATCGCTGAACCAAAACCTAGGGAAGGCAAATTGATGCTCAAAGTAGCAGGTTTGTATCTGCTAGTAATGGAATGCAGCTAATTCTTACCCAGGAGACATAAAAGATTGCAGATTTGTGTCTTGTCACTGCAAGACTGAATTACTGCATTGTGTACTAGCTATATCTTTAGTCCATCAAGAAACTGAACCTGGTATAGAATTCAGCTACACATTTGTTTAGCAGTATGTCTTGTGAGGCTGTTACACTGAAGTTCTGTGATCTGCACTAAAGCCCAAATCCTCGAAGGTATTCAGATCCTTTGAGTATCTGTACCTAAGTGTCTATTGGTGTCTGAGGCCTGGTCTACGCTGGGGGAGAAATTGGATTTAAGAGGCTATGTCTAGTCTGCAGGCTTCTTTTGGAAGAAGTTTTTCCAGAAGAGATCTTCTAGAAAAGGGAGATCTTCTTCCGAAAGGGAGCATCCACACTGCCAAAGCGCATTGAAAAAGCGACCTGCTTTTTTGAAAGATCGTGTCCATACAGGATGGACACTCTCTCGCATTTCAGTTGTGATTATTGTGGATGGAGTGGCCACCAGGGCACCTGTGCTTTTTCCTGGAGGCCTCTTCTTTTGAAAAAACACTCTTCTGCATCCACACACTCCTTTTTCCGAAGAAGCTTTTTCGGAAAAAGGCTTCTTCCTCGTAGAAAGAGGGTTACTGCTGTCGGAAAAAACCCTCCATTCTTTTGACTTTCTGTTGAAAGAATGCAATTGCAGTGTGGACATGAATGTAGTTTTTTCTGGAAAAATGGCCATTTTTCCAGAAAAAAACCCTCCATTGTAGATACACCCTGATACGCACCTACAGCTATGAGAATAGCATAGCTTGAGCCAAGTATCAGTGGGTAGCTGTGTTAGTCTGAATCTGCAAGAACAACGAGAAGTCCTGTGGCACCTTATAGACTAACAGATATATTGGAGCACAAGCTTTCATGGGCAAAGACCCACTTCGTCAGATTAAGCCAGTTTACCTTGAATTGAATTTCTGCGATGGCCCCGCTGTGGGAGGACTTCCCATACTCCTTGCAACCCCGTGGAGTACTGGGGTTGACAGGAGCACCATCAGCATTCCATGTAGCAGGTTCTTACTAGATCTGCTATATCAAACCCCAGAAGATTGCTTTCCAGAGCATTGGCCTCCAGGTAAGTATTAGGGATGTTAGCAAACGTTTATTTTTGTAAACATGCAACCACTGATTTTTTTCAGCAGTTACATGTTTACACTCAGAGGCTGTGTCTACATTGGCATCCCTTTCCGAAAAAGGGATGCTAATGAGACACTTCGGAATTGCAAATCCGCGGGGGATTTAAATATCCCCCGCAGCATTGGCATTCACATGGCTGCCGCTTTTTCCTGGGCTGCCGCTTTTTTCCGGCTTGGGGATAAGCCGGAGAAAAGCGCCAGTCTAGACGCGAATCTCCAGAAAATAAGCCCTTTTCCTACTTGAAAGTAGGAATAAGAAATCCTCCTGAAAAGGGCTTATTTTCCGGAGAATTGTGTCCAGACTGGCACTTTTCTCCGGCTTATCCCCAAGCCGGAAAAAAGCGGCAGCCATGTAAATGCAAATGCAGCGGGGGATAGTTAAATCCCCTGCGGATTTGCATTTCCGAAATGTCTCATTAGCATCCCTTTTCCGGAAAGGGATGCCAATGTAGGCACAGCCAGAATGGCTGGGGGGATCCGGCTTTTAAGCTGGCTTCCCATGAATATCAACTCTTGCCTGACCCCATCCCCATGCTGCTGCCTCTGTGGGAGTCAGCAAATGGGGACCAGACGGCTCCACGGGAACTGGCATGTTCAGAGAGCTGACTTAAAATCCAGCTCCCTGTGCATATTGGCTCCCGCCTGCCCCCACCCAGTGCTGCTGCCACTGAGCAAGGGTCGACAAAAGTGGACTTTTGTCAACAAAACTATACCTGCGTCTACACTACCGCTGAGTTCTGTCGACATAATGTCGACAGAAGTCAGCAGTTTTGTCGACACTGGTAAACCTCATTTTATGAGGCATAACACCTTCTGTCGACAGAAGGTGTTATTGCCTGTAGGGTTGCGTCTAGACTACAGGGTTTTGTCGACAAAGCAAGTTGCTTTGTCGACAACTGAATGTGTCTAGACGCTCTATGTCGACAGAAGTTTTGTCGAAAACTTCCGTCAACAAAACCCTGTAGTCTAGACGTACCCACAGAGACAGCAGCATGGGGGGGAGGACAGGTGGCTCCATGGTGCTGATACAGAGGCAGCAAAGGTGGTGGGGGGGGGGGGGCGGCTGCATGTAGAAGGCCTGAGTGGAGTTCGGTGTCATTTTTGTTCTCTGAGGTCCCGCATGACCTGGGGGCGTGTCTACCTTTTAACCCTGTGTCATATTACCAGAGAAGTCAGCAGGGGCACAAAGAGAGGAGGCTGCTGCAAAGGCCTTCTCTGTGAGGACCCATCTACTTTGAAACTTGATCACCTCTTTGCTGTAAAATAATTGTATCTGTTGATCTTTGCGATATGGTATGAAACTAGTGTTTTCACCTAGGAATTTAGGGAGTGAGGGAAAATTATGAGGGAGGGTAGCAAGTGGTGGGATAGGGGGATTTTTGCCTTGTCATTGCTGGGGGTGGTTTTGGAGCTAGAGCTTAAATGAAATGGCTGGCCTTGTGAATTATTATTACAATGATATTTTTAATTATTGTCAAGGGCACCTGGAGCCAGTCAGGTTGACTATAGGAATTTAGAATGTAGCTGAATTTAGGAAGTTTCATTATAGTAGTAAGCTCTGGATTAATCTCCCAAGAGAACATTTACAGGTAGATTGGGAACACGTTCCCTAGAGAACGTATTGCGGAGAACAAGCCAGGACTGGTAGGGGGATGGACTGGGTGAGCTAACACAAAATTTGCATCTCTGACTTCTGTGTTGATATAACTTCATGCTGGTGCATGGTTGTTCGTTTACCTCCCGCCTGTTTCCTGTAGATGATTGTGATGAGGCATATGCAAAGCTGAGTCGCCTCATAAAGGAATACCTCGGTATGGCACAGCCTTCGGATTTGGACAGCAGTCAGGTCTTGGATGGCAAAGCACTCACAGGTACTGTATGTGACTTTTCAGCTGTGCCAGTCAGGAACCAACACCAACATTATTAGGAGAGTATTATTAATTACTCGTCAATTCAAAGCCTTTGTGCCCTTACTGTGAGAGGTTGCCTCCATGATTACTGGCCTCCCACTGAGTAATGTGCCTCTCTCACTACCTTTCTCCTTAGTAACTGAGTCCATGATGCTGCTCTTTCCAGTTACTTTATATGGCAACTGACTTGGGAGAACAATGCTGGGAAGATACTAGTGTGATACTAATGTTGACTGTGACTCCCCAGCTGATAAACACCTGTTACCCTGGGACGCAGTAACGAATAAGTTAGAACCTAATTTTGGACACGCCCTGGCATAGATTATGGATGATAAATGTCCCAAGTCCCAGAAGAAGGGATCGCCTGAGGCCGATTACTCGTTACCGTATCTGTCACCGGTGCGTGGTTTTCAAATAAAACTCCGAGTCTCAATTTAGGGCCAAACCATATATTGTCAATTTAAAATATAGGACAGCATGTAACAGCAACTCAATACCCAATCCCCAGAGATAAAGCAGACAGTAAAGACCCCTAGACAAACAATAGTATTATACTTTACACGCACACTTGTGGCCTAAGATAGCTGAGACGCTCACGACCTCTATGCCTTGGCTAATTGCAAGCCGTGGCAGAGGAACAGTGAGGAGATCCCTTGATGTCGCAGGATCTGCCTTCTGGTCGGGCGGTAGATGAGGAGTGGACTATGGATCGAAGGCCTTCCGCTCTCCAATGATAATCCAATGGGATCCGACAGGTTTCCCCCGGGAATTCTCCACAGGTAAATAAGAAAACCCAAAACACCCACCACACTCACACCAACACTACACTGTCCAGGCTCATGCTCTCACACCTCCAACCCACCATTCATGCTACTACAGAGAGACATACGCAGAACCAAACGCAATCAGGAACCCAAACAGGAAAAAAAAGGGAACCCGAACTGCTACTGAACTGGGGTATTTTTAGCACTCTCCAGCGGGAAGATTCCAAAGGTGCTGAGTGCACTCTTTTGCGGGTGAGGTGCATAACATTCTGAACCGTGGGCAGCTATTTTGAGCCGAGTGCAGAGCAATTAGAATGGGGTGCAATTTGGTACCAAGTGCAAAGAATTAGAATGGGGTGCAGAGCACTAGTACCATGTGCAACTAGGGAAAAGGCGGGACCCCCCCCCCCTTATGGCAGGCTTCCTTAGTTCGAATTAGCATTGATAGTTCGATTCACTGCCTTTGTCTGGTCAGGACAGCGCTCATAGCACTACAATTTCCCATCCGCACAACCAATAAACATATAACATACAAACTGAGGTAACATACCCACTCATCAGGGAAAGTTTTTTTAGGAAGACCTATAGGAGAACAATTTCTCCTTGGCTGACATCGTTGTGCCTGTCAGACTAATGAGAAAAAGGGCTATGAGGCTGGACACTCATCTTCCTCCCTGCTTTGGGATGATCAGGGCTATGAAGGAAGCCTTTCCAAATCAGAATCCCTCTTGCCATTGGCCAGTAATCCCAATTTCCTTTTAACAGTAATTCTTTACTGCAGAGTTAGCCAGGGTAATAGGCACCCAGGTTAGCCTGGCTTTGGTGCAGCTACACTGCAAAACCACATGTGAGTTACTTTGTCCTTAGTGGTGTGGCAGTCCTTGATATGCGTATCTGAAGTAAGCGTAAGACCGGCACAAAAATGTTCATGAAAAATAGTGCAGAACTTCATCACATTTTCATATCAAGTGATTTCATATCCTGAAAGAATTAATACATGTTTATTACTCGGTGGAGAATGAAAAAGTTCAATATGGATTGTAACAGCTGGATAGTAGCATGACTGGTAACTTTATAAAGAAGCCAATAAATTTAACCTCATTCTGGGCTGTCTTAATTTTTACTTCTAGAAATCCCCACATTAGTTGGAAGTTAAAGAAGGCTTGTGGGGATGACTGGATTCTGGAGAAGCAAGTTACCATATATGCTGTATCTTGTACTTCATTATTATCTGCTAAGACCTTAGGGCCTTTTTGGCACAGGAAGGAGAGCAAGGTGGAAGGATTATGGACAGAAGAGGGTCCCATCTAATTATAATATGTTCTCTCTAAAGCATCTGACATTCCTTTTAACAAAATAGTAATTTTTTAAAACATTTTGGAATTTGTCAATTTGTACTTTGTTACTAGCTACAGAAATTCTATTAATAGTACTGGGTTTGGTAATTTTGCACTCTATAAAGTAACTTTTAAATTTACTGTGCATCGTTAAATTCACTTACAGCTTCATTTATAGCAATTTAAATAAATTTAATTATCTTTGTTCTGCAGAGAATGTCTTTTCTTATGGACTGTGTGAAATAATTTATTTTAAAAAGTTTGCCTCAAGGTTGACTTTAATATGGACATTTTTAGTAAGAAAGTTGCAGAGGAAAGATTGGTTCTGTGATATTAGGATAGGTTGTTAATTCTTTTTTTTCATTAATTACCATTTGAGATCTTTTCTTCATGTACAGAGTAAAGGCACTGGGAGAAAATTGAAAAGCTCGTCTTTTGAAACACTTTTTATAGAAGAAATTACTGTACACAAATGGTGATAATACTTTGCTTGTACATAGCAGCTTTCATCCAAGGATTTCAGTGCTTTGTATCTATTAATTAAGTCTTTCTACACTGGATAGTAATACATACTTTGCAGCATTTTAAAGCTGGGACATTGGGCCTGTGGATGATTGTTGGTGGTTCTGAGCACTCAGAATTCCCACTGGGAGTAGAGGGCCCTCAGTGCCTCTGAAAATCAGGCTGAGTAAATAATCTACAGCACCTAGAATAGAACTCAGGTGCCATAACTCCCCTGTTTTAATCACTAACAATTGTAGCATCTGTATATCAGCAACTTGTGATGGCTGGGCTGAGGGACATTTGGGGAAAGTTGGCTTTTATTTATTACACAGTTACAAAACCAAACATATACAAGTATAAATATGTGTGTGTAAGAGTGTGTGCATTTAATTCTATCTCTCTCCTTCACTCTTCATTTATTGCTCTTCTCTTTAGATTTGGGTGCTTTGAGAGAGCTACTTTTGTTCAGCACATACTATAATGGGTTTTTTGTCCTGATTGGGTTTTCCAAACACTACCATAATATAAATATTCATAAGGGTTATCTTTATATTTTAAATTTATACTTGGGATAATTGGTTCGTTAAACTGAAGCCCAGTGTTTCCATTTGTCGCTATAGTTTTGCACTCTCCAGTTTTGCTTGAAAAAAGTGAATTAGTTGCATCTCTAGCTATCTGATTTAGTTGCATGTGTGACTACCTGTAAGTCAGGTAAAAGTGCAAGTAGTTATATTTACACTCAGAGGTGAACTGTTTGTATAAAAATTTAGATGTAAATTATTCTGACAGAAGTGATTCAAATTTGCTGGCTGTGAGGTAGGTCAAACATAGCTATAGCTTAAGACTAGTAACAATGCTTAATAGCTAGCATCTTAGGGAAAAAATTAATCAAAGCAACATGCCATATTTCATCAGTATCCCTCATTGGTTTTTGTTTTTAAGTGTTTTGGGGAGCCTACACTTCCCTAGGTATTTTGAGGATGAATTGATTACTATTTGTAAAGTTCTTTACTATAAATTACAAAAAGTGTTATGTATTTTTATTCCATTCCTTGAGATATATTTCTCAAAACTGAGTATCTTAACTTTTTATCATTCATTCTCATAATTTGCAAAGCTAGAACAGTGCCAAAAAGTATTTGTTTATTTTGTAACTGCAGGCCTGGAACTTCTTAAACAGGATTTCAACTTGCAACCAGAGCTTACACTAAGGGTTTTGTTGCATTAATAACAATACCTGTTCTCTGCTAGATTCCAGCTCACTGTCTTTTGGCGATCACAGAGCTTTAACCAGTGGAGAGACACAAATTACCCTGCCTTCTGACATCAATGAGTTTTCAGACTCTTCAGCCAAAAACTACTCTGCTAGAATCTCAGCCAAACTTGCTGCACAAAAAACACCAGTGGTAAGGGAGAAATGCTCTAATTTTAACATTAATCGAATGCTAACAAATATATATGTTAACATTTGGCATATACGTATAACATATAAGTAGAATGTTTATGCTTTGATGATTCCCCATATCATTTTTCCTGCTGTTCTCTGAACTCCTTTCAGTTTGTCAATATTTTCTCAGACGTGGAGTTCCCAGAATCCAATGTACCTACTGAAGGCAGCTGAAAGAAAATGGTGTAAGCATCATCAACTGAGGCAGGGAACTGAAACCCTAATCTTTTCACACCTGTTTTACACCAGAGTGACTTCACTCATTCTGTTGGAGTTGTTCCTGATTTGTGTGGTGTAAGTTAGATGAGGATCCGCCCCTATATACTTTTACAAGAATGCATGGAAACAATCCAAATACAGGATAAATAATGGACGTGATGCCATGAGATACAAGGACATTGTCTAACAGGATATCAAGAGCTGCTTACAACCCAACCCTGTTCCCATTGAAATCAATGACAAAACTTCGTTCACCTCAGCGGCTGCATGCTTGGCATGTCTTCCACTAGAGATTGAATTCAGACATGTTTCTATGCTGCTTTTTAAATGTTTTGACCCAGTAATTCAACAGTTGTGCTTAAATTGCTTGCAATCTAAGCTTCATTTTTTAAAGGTTATTCCCTACAGGTGAACTTTAATGCGCTCTCCTTGCAGGCAGCAGTGGAGTTGATGCTGTGAAGAAGATATTTCTAATGCTTCTTTTCAATGGTGATGGTGGGAGGAAAAAAAAAAGGAAGCTTCAAAACATGTTCCATTCCAGGTCCATAATGTCATAATGATGAATAGTGTGGCTTACTGGACAGTTATTGTCACAATCTCTATATCTGTAGCAAACTACACCTAACTCTGGGGTCTACAGTTTTTATTCTGGATCGAACAGAGGAAAAAAATCACTGCTATCCAAGGCTTTAAAAAAAGGCTTTATTTAGTAGTGAGAAAGGTATGACTGTAAAATGGGCTACACAGATGTGGAACCCTCTCCTCTTTCAGATGTGCTGGGTAGGGTTAAATAAGTTCAGAAGTATCATTTCATTTAGTGTTTATTTCATCAGAATGTATATTACCTTAAGCTGAAGGAGAAGCCTTGTGTTTCTCTCACTTCAGCAGCTTTCTGCTGTCATCTGTATCACAGCGATTTATATCTCACTCTCTTTATTGCCTCTTATGCTGACAGTTTACATTTTGTCAAGCTGGGGAGATAAATGTTTTATTGTGAAGGTGGCTATAATTTACCCGGGCTTTAAGTTCTTCAGTGGCTAAAAGACTTTCTTTATTAGTTTCCATGTTCATTGCTGGTAATATCTGCCAAGTTATTTGCTAGGCCTTTAAAGTGCCCAATATATTTTTTCATGTGTATGATGAAGTTCAGTAGGATTAACTCAAGTCTCAAGCAATAAGTGCTCCAAGGTGAAATATGAGTGTAATTCAGATAAGTTTCAATGGTAAAAGATTGTAAATATGTCTCTCATGGTTTAAAGTAAAATCCTCTCTGAATTGTTCCATTTGCTTTACTTTTGGCAACTAATGCATGTAGCCTAACTGCTACAACTGCATTCCATGTTTTCTGTGTGTCGAATGACAAAGTGAGAAAGAGCACTAAATAACTAGCACTGGCTATCCAGGAGCAGGATAAAAGGCAAAGCTTACTGCCCAGGAAAAGAACCATGACATTCCATGTCCCTTGCAACTTGTGAAATTATGCCAATGTTGCACAAGTATAAATAATGAACGACACAAGATGCAAGGCAGCTCAGAACCAGGCCCTGCAATCCATACAAATATCAGAAAGAATTGCATCTTTACAAAGAGCATACCATCTGAAACATCTGCCTGAAATCTGTGTCGGTCTGGGCCTAGCTAGAGTAGCAAAAGGGAAGGAATTCACAACAATCTGTGAATAGATATGTTCAGCAAGGCAATCTGACTCTCTTTGTCGTTCATCCTTTGCTATCTGGAGAGCCATTCCTGGATGGGAGATGCAGAGTCACCAGATAAATTGTGGTGTGGGGTCTTTCTTGTAGCATCATGAGGTGATGTCACTATAAGATGACTGTTGTTTTTCTGTTAAGCTTTCTCTTGTCTTATTCACTCTGGGTGTATCTAGACTACAGGGTTTTTTAAAAAAGGTAGCCTTTTTTCAAAAGAACTTCACATGCGTCGAGACTGCAGCCGCGTTCTTTCGAAAGTAAATTGAAAGAATGCGGCAGTTTTTTCGATTGCGGTAAACCTCATTTTATGAGGAATAACGCCTTTTTCGAAAGTACTCTTTCGAAAAAAGGCGCTATTGAATGCAAACTATGCTTTTTTGAAAGAGAGCATCTAGACTCTCTTTCGAAAAAGCTGCTTGTAGTCTAGATGCTCTCAAAAGAGGCTTGAAGTCTAGACGTAGCCTCTGGGTTTGTCTGCACTGGGAAGCTATATGATGCTGCAGCATATGTTAAGGTAGCCCACTGGTTAGAAACTCAGGACTCAATTCTCCCATCTGCTAAGGCTACCTTGTGCTAGAGTGCACAGTAGCCTGAGAGTGGCCATAGATTTCCTGCAGAGAATTCCCTCTGTATAGGAGGAATCTCAGCTGGTGTCAAGTTGGCAGAGATGCTTTGACCATCAACTATTCCCCTGACCTTGGAGTAAGAGGGGAAGGAAAACCGCATATCAGGAGTGCATTGGCGCTACACTCTACTATGCTCCATCTGTTGCTGGTGACAGGAACCTTATGCAAGCATCATAAATTAAAATGGGATTATTCTTGCTTTAATTTACACTAGGGTAGTGACTCAAGGTATCACAACCAGCTCTCTACAGTCACCCCTTTCTGCTACATCTTAGCATAGCTCAGATGTAGTGAAGAATTTATTCTAAACGAGGACTACCATGTTTAAAGTCGGGTTTGACTTCAAAGACAAAAGTCCCATCTACAGTGAGTGCCCTAGTTAGTTAATGTGTTATAACACAATGTCATTTCCTAGCATAAATACTCAAGAGACTTAGGCCATGTCTACGCTACCATTTTTGTCAGCAAAGCAAATGATGCTCAGGGGTGTGAAGAAACACATCCCTGAGTGACGTAAGTTTCACTGGCCTAAGTGGAAGTGGGCACAGGACCATGCTGGTGGGAGAGTTTCTCTGGCCAGCATAGCTGCTGCTCCTCATGGGAGGTGATTTAACTAAGTCGATAGGAGAGCTCTATCCCATTGGCATAGACAACTGCACAAGAGATCTGACAGAGGCACAGCCTTAGCCAGAGACAGCAATGTCACGGCCATTGACTCTGCCCTTTTGGAAGGTCTGTTTGTATGTGTAAGTTATTGTAATAAATGGATCATGTTTCTTGCTCAGGAAGAAGCATCTCTGCAGAGGCGTCAACAGGCAGCACGTCAGGCGCTGTTGGGGAAGTCTCCTAGTGCGTATGCCCAGCTGTTTCAAAGGTAACGTAGGCATTTGTATTAATCATGTCCTCTTCAGTCAACTGACAAAGGTCTTTCTTTAACTCCTTCCCCATTGCCCCTACAAGATGAATGATCGGAAACTGTCATGGTCAGTCCTACGGCTGGCTCTCCTCCCTAAAGCGTTCACATCAAACCCTACAGTTAAACCCTATACATGGAGAGAGCCTGCTGGTGGGAGGCCATCCTGCAGCATCTCTGAGACTGTGAATTTATAAAACACACATGGCTGCCCAGCTCCCAGCAAGAAGCAGTTGGGGGACAGCAGCAGAAAAGATGGAGCAGCTGGATCCCACTCCTGGGGGTGGGAAGAAGCACCAGGCAGCTTCCCCTGGTTCCCAGGATGGAGCAGGGAGAAAGGGGAAACCTGCCAGGAGACTGGGCTTTCAGCTCCCCATGCTGCCTCTCTTGGGGCATGGAAGCGTTCTTAGTGCGGACGCGCCCCACCAACCCAAGGAGGCCAATCGAGATTTGCATCCCCACAGTAATTACATTGGTGAATTTACATTCCTAGCATAGACGTACCCTTAGATTTCTGCTATTTGCTGTCTTTATTTCCCATTGCCTTGCTCATACTTGGATTCTTTGTTGAGAGTGAAAATCAGACTTTGTTTTGGCAGCGCTGTCAGATATGTGAAACTCCTGTCACCCACGATTGGTATCTGCAGTTACTAGGCCTGAAGGGACATCTGTGCTCATTGAAAACAAATTGGACACAAGAGTAGACAACACTCCCTTCCATATGGTGATACAGGACATGCCATAAATATGCACAGCTGGGACTCTGGGAGTTGGACGATGACCCTGAAATCAGGGTAACATTGTAGTTATGTTCCTGAAAAGTGTGACTTGAAGCGAAACGATGATCAGCCAATTTAGTTTCCCCATAAGAATGAATGTAAATGGGGCTGGGGTTTGGTTCCAGGGATTTTTTTTGCCAGATAGAAGACATTATACACCTATACAGTATAAGGCTTACACAATTTTAAACAAACAATTTCCTACCGTACTTAGCAATGATGATTGTGAAGCTTGGTGAAGTCAGCGGGTGGAAGTGGGTGGATCAGCCGGCTGCTCCTCTTGCTGAGCTTTCCCAACTCAAAAAATCACATCTAGAGACTGATGTTTGGTTTTCTTTATTTTTCTTGGTGAATGTCTTCATGCCAGTGTGGTGCCATTTGACTCACAGCTGGGACTAGGGGAGTGAACAGCCTCTGGTCCCATACCTCTGGCGAGGGTGTGGACCAGTAACGCTCGTAGGCCTGCAGAGTCCTCCCCGTGCAAGCTCTTCAGGTTTAGGCTCAACACGGGAACCAGGCAGAGCTCTGGTGCATCCTTCCCCAGCATCCGATGGGGACATCTCTGCTCGCCTATGAGCAGCAGATCACAAAAATGCCTGGTCCAGGTAGTCCCCGCCCTCTGGGATTCCTGGGGAGACCAGCCATCTCCTAAGGGAACCACTCTCCCAGGATGCATGGTACACTTGGGACACACCATGCACAGGGCTGGATTAACTTTTTGTGGCCTCTTCTGAGTGTGGACCCCGTGTGACTGTGCCATGGTAAGCCTAGTACTGCATGGATAGGAATGAACACATTTATTCAAAACCAAAATATGATATTTGAAGCCACGCTTGAGTGAGACCTTCACTCAGCCTATAGACAGCAAACTGGATGAGCATCCATATACCTAAAATTACCCTTGAATGTGGTTTGTATGGAAGGGGGCTGTTTGTTAGTTTTGTGTTTTTTTGTTTAAATGCTCAGGACATGCCTAAAGACCTGAACACAAGGTCTTAATCTTTAGTACCTTTATGAGCCATTTTAAGCCCGGGTGTAGCGGTCACTGGAGTAGCATCTGCATCTCCCCTCCACCCAAAGTTGTTTTGTAAATACATTTTTGAAAGCTGGATTTTCTACTTTGGAACAATCATCTTTATAAAATGTTTTTAAAAGTTAGTTTGTTTCGCCTATTTCTCTCTTTGCATCACCATCCCACACAACTTCAGATGAAACAGTAAAGTTATTGGGGCGGAGTATGGGGAGGAAAATTGCTGGTGCCCATCTTTTGCCACCACAATCCAGCCTCAAACCCCTACCCCATCCTTCCTATTGACCCCCTCTCCACAGGTAACCACTGCCTTCACAATAGGGCTGTCCTCAGTCACCCTCCTCTTGCCCACCCCCTACTTTCAATACAAGGCTGTCACCTCCCACCCTTCTACCAGCCCCCACCTTCAATTCAGACTCTTCCCTCCCTCTCTCCCTCTATACCTAATCCTTACCTTCAACACAGATTCTCCCCTCCCTCCCTCTGTCCCCCACACCCAACCCCCACCTTTGCACCCTACTGCTCCTACTCCCCAAGAATCACCACTAGCTCCCTCATTGCACCCGGATTTGCCCCACAACTTACCCCCAAACTTACCCCACAAACTTACCCCCTCTCCATAGAGCGGTGGAGCAAGGGAGTTTCTGGCCATTCCCACTGGTGGAAGGGTGGCAACCAGCCCCACTGTTACTGCCCTCCAGGCGTGAGGGCATCCGGCGCACTGGCCATGTTACCCAGCATCCCATGCGCTGGCCCCTGATGGTGGCCAAGGGGTCACATGCACACTCTCATCCCCAGCTCAAAGCTGCAGGGTAGAGAGGGTGCCCAGGTTCCCGTGGATAGTCAGAATGCCGGGAGTCACAGCGCTGCTGCCGCCCCAGCAGAGTGGGGGAGACTCGGGGTGGAGGGCTGGGCCAGGAGCCCTTACCAGCGCGATCAGCACAGCAACACTGGGAGCCCTCTCCCTGAACCATTTCCTTTCGGTGAGGGGAGGGACTGCTGCTGCCCACTTCAGCTGGAGCAGCTCGCAGCATGGTGCAGGGCATTCTGGGACTAGTGGTATAGCTGGTAGCGCAGGTCCAAGGGCCCCAATGAAAGGCAGCAGCATGGGAACAAAAACTCCCAGCACACCTTGCAGCACATTGCTTGGCTGTGGACAGGGCTGGATTAACCCGGGGGTGGGGAGAGGAGGCAGGATGTGCTGACAGTAGTGGTGGGGAGATGATCGGGGCTGGTGACATAGAACTGTTGCTCTTTGGCAATGTGCATTGGTAAATTCTGGCTTCTTCTCAGATTTAGGTTGGCCACCTCTGATTTAGGGTAAATATCATTATCGCAGTTTCATCCCATTACTCCTCATTATACACCCTTGTACCTGTCAAAATAAATCCTCTTCATTTTTATGCAGTTCAGAAAAATAGACTGTTACCACGTCTTCACTTTCTATTAGTCAGCACTTAGCCTAACTACATATGTGTATATCTTTTCATCTTTGCTCATAAGTCTGTTCCTCCAGCCCCCTGGTAAATTTTGGCCGTATGCACTAAATTCTATCCAACCTCTTAACATCAGATAATTAGATGCCAGAAATGGTCACAATATTACCAGTGCAGCTATAACAAGGGGTAGCAAAGAAGGCACATTTACCTCCTGGCTCTTGGACATGATATCTCATTGCCTCTTCATATGCAGCTCAATATTGCCTTGGCCTTTGGGGCTCATTTTGCGTTCCAAACACAGGTCTGACTTCCTGTTCATTGTCATCTTTCTTTCAGCATGCTGCTTGCTAGATTTCTCCTTTCCATGGAGTATTTTTCTATGACTTAGATTATTCTTCCTCAATGTATATTTTATTTAGACATTTTTTTCTGCTTCTATTTGGTTACACAAGTCAAGCACAGATCATATCATTCTGAAATCTGATTATAAATGTTTCTTTTGACAGACATCATTTTTCTTGTGTCAGCTTTGTGGTTGTACATTGTCTACTTTCATTTAAGATACAATGTACCCATTCTCAGAAAAAGTTTCTTAATCTCAAAGTTCAGTGACAATAGAGTAAGCTTCTTACTGGACAATTCTCTGTTGTCAAGCTAAAGAGAATTACTGTTTACATGATTTACATGAAGGGCAAGTCCTGCCTGACCAATCTGATTAGCTTCTATGATGAGGTAACTGGCTCTGTGGATATGGGAAAGTCAGTGGATGTGATATACCTTGACTTTAGCAAAGCTTTTGATACGGTCTCCCACAATATTCTTGCCAGCAAGTTAAGGGAGTATGGATTGGATAAAGTGACTGTAAGATGGATAGAAAGCTGGCTAGACTGTCGGGCCCAACGGGTATTGATCAACGGCTTGATGTCAGGTTGGCGGTCGATTTCTAGCAGAGTGCCCCAAGGATCTGTTCAAGGACCGGTTTTGTTCAACATCTTTATTAATGACTTGGTTAAGGGATGGATTGCATCCTCAGCAAGTTCACAGATGACACTAAACTAGGGGGGCGAGGCAGATACGCTAGAGGGCAGGGATAGGGTCCAGAGTGGCCTACACAGATTAGAAGATTGGGCCTTAGGGTCCAGAGTGACCTACACAGATTAGAAGACTGGGCCAAAAAAAATCTGGCCCAAGATTCAACAAGGACAAGTGTAGAGTCCTGCACTTGGGATGGAAGAATCCCAAGCATTGTTCCAGGTTGAGGACCAACTGGCTAAGTAGCAGTTCTGCAGAAAAGGACCTGGGGGTTACAGTGGATGAGAAGCGGGATTTGAGTCAACAGTGTGCCCTTGTAGCCGAGAAGGCTAATGGCATATCAGGGTGCATTAGGAGGAGCATTGCCAGCAGATCTAGAGAAGTGATTATTCCCCTTTATTCGGCTCTAGTGAGGCCACATCTGGAGTATTGTGTCCAGTTCTGGGCCCCCCACTATAGAAAGGATGTGGATGCATTGGAGAGGGTCCAGCGGAGGGTGACCAAAATGATTAGGGGGCTGGAGCACATGACCTATGAGGAGAGACTGAGGGATTTGGGTTTGTTTAGTCTGCAGAGTTACATCTAGATTACATGCCTCTGCTGAAAGATGCATGTAAAATAGGCTACCCAACATAGTCAGATCGGTCGACAAGGGACGCCTTTGTTGACCACTCCTGAAAACCTTGTTTCACGAGGCATAAGGGAGTGGTCGACAAAGGGTTCCCTTGTCGACCGATCTGCGTCTTGACTCGTGCGCTGTGCCAACGATCAGCTGAGCCGGCACAGTGCAGCGGCCATTTTTATTTTAATGAAGCCGGGGATATTTAAATCCCCGCTTCATTGACTATGTTGGGTAGCCTATTTTACATGCCTCTGTCAGCAGAGGCATGCAATCTAGACATACCCCAAAAGAGATACTGTCTGATCAGGATCCAGGTCCAATGTAATGCTACTTTGTCGCATTCTTCTGTGCCCACGTTGGGGGCAGAAAGGAAGAGGCTGTAACTGTGGTCCCAGGTACATGGATATCCTCTTTGGAGTGTCAAAGTGGCTGAGTAATTTCTTTTATTGGATCAGCTTCTTCTGTTCAGAGAGCAGGGGACTGGACTCGATGACCTCTCGGGGTCCCTTCCAGTTCTAGTATTCTATGATTCTATGAAACTTGCTTTTGAGCTTACACAGAGCCCTTATTCAGGTCTGCGAAATGCACTCAGATATACTGAAACATACTCAGAAGCTCTGTGTAAGCTTGAAAGCTTGTCTCTCTCCTCAACAGAGGTTGGTCCAATAAAAGATATTACTTCACCCTAATCTCTCTAATATCCTGGCACCAATCTGGCTTCAGCGACATTGTATGTGTGTGTAATTTAACTTACCTAACATGTTTTTCTTTGTTATTCAAGATGAGGCAGCCTAGAGCAACAGAAATTATAAACTCCTTGAATATAAATATTTCTAATTAAATTGATGACAAGACCTTCCTGCCCGCCAGAAACTTGATTGGCAGAGTACAAAATAAGGGATTTGGAGGTGGACGGAAATCCCTGTGAATCCTTTTAAAACACATTTCTTTCAATTGTCTGGCTGGTTGTTTTAAGTGTATCTATCAGTAGGGATTTAGCCTTTAAGGATGGGTCACTGATTCTGAATCAGAGCCTTCACTTCAGAGAGCAGAGTCCATTTTCCTGTGGCAGATGAGTCCTTAGACTGTGACCTTCCATCTGAAGTGGTGCATGATACGGATCTTCTCAGATTTCTCTTTGAGCTCTCTTAACCTCTGCTGTCAAGCAGCATGTCTTAGCATTGCATATTGAGTGGAGAGATTTGTTAGGAAATGTGTGTGTTGAAAGGGAGGGTTTTTTTGTTTCTTTTAAATTCCAGGACATTGATTTAGAAGGCTTTTCAGATACATTAGAGGCTCTGAGGGCTAGCAACGGGATAAGGATCCTCTCTTCTCTATGTATCTGGTTTAGGCCATTACCAGCTGGCAATGTTCGGTGGTCTATGTAATAGAAATGCGTAGTCTCACTTTAAGGGAGATGGAGATTTATGTGTAGGTAGAATTAATAGGATGAAACTAAGAAAAGGCAAAGGAAAGACTAACGGCAGAAAAATCCCATTTGCCCAGAGACGTGTTAGGCTATGGAATTCCACAAGGAAAGTGGTAACAATCCTGTCTCAGACATTTTAAAACTGAACAGGACACAGCACTAAAAAACCTGCAATAGGGAATAGTCCTGCATTGACAAAGGTTGGGTTAGGCAACCTAAAAGATAGATTCCAGGATTTCTTTGGGACAAGGATCTGCAAACCACTTCTGCAATTGACAACATTTTTGGCAATCTTAGCAAAGAAACTAAGAATTAGGGGACATAGCAATTAAATTGGCTGGTTGCCCCTAAAAGAGGGAGGTTGCTTCAGTGTCGAGTTGGGGAGGATCAACAAAATGGCTGCTGCCATTGTATATAGCAGGGGTAGGGATCCTTTTTGGAGTTCGAGGCCACTGATTCACAGAAAAATCTGTCAGGGGCCGCACAGAAGTGAGAAGGAAAAAAAAATTCCCTCACTGATGTGGCCCCCGACTCAGAAGGAGAAAGACGCTCCCCACATTCCCCTCACACACCTAAGCCTAGGCAGGGCCTGAGCCTTGGGGCCAGATCCAGGCAAGCCGGGAGCCACATCCAGCCCCCGGGCCTTACGTTCCTCACCCCTGGTATATAGGATCAATACAAGGCATCTTTTAAGAGCCTGTAACTTAATTTTAAATTAAACATGTTAAGAGGGACTGCTCCTACATCTGAAATTTCACGGTGCTTTTTGGCCACAGGACTACTATCTGTATCGGGGCGGGCAATGATTTTTGACAGGGGGCCACTCCAAGATTTTTGGAAAGTGGTCGAGGGCCGCATTCTTCCATGGTATTAATGGAGGTGCAGGGTCTGGGATGGAGGTTGGTGCAGAAGGGAGCTTAGGGTAAGGGATTGGTGTGCAGGAGGAAGAATGGAGTCTAGGAGTTTGGGTGAAGCAGATGGTTTTGACTTAGGACAAGGGACTGGAGTGCAGGGCTTTGGGTTGTGACCTAGGGGAGGAGGGGATTGTGGTCTGGGGCAGGAGATGGGGGTCCCAGATCTGGGAGGGGGTATGGGTACCAGAGGGTGGCAGAGGGTTTGGGAATGTTTACTGGGGGACAGAGGGCTGGGGAAGGGAGGAGCTGAGGTGCCAGAGTCAGGCTCTGGCCAGGAGATGTACCAGCCAGCAGCAAACCAGCCTGCCTGCCTGCAGAGCTAAAGACTTGCAGAGCTTAACAACATTTCCCAGCCAGCCAGCCTGCTTGTCCAGCCATGTGCCTCAGTGAATAACTGAGCTGAGGAGAGTGGGCGCGGTTCTTCTTGGTTGTCTGTTATTCAAACAGGCAGCCCCCATTGGCCAGTTTCTGGCCAGAAACCAGCCAATGGGATTGTGCTGGGGGTGGGGGCAGCTCCAGATGCTTTTCCCCCTCCTCTCCAGTTTTGAAACAGAAACGGGGCCTAGGGTTGCCAGGTATCCGGTTTTGAACCTGACAGTCCAGAATTTGAGCTTTCTGTTTGGGAAACAAATTGAGAAAATATAAATGAGAAAATAGAAATGTCCGGTAGTTTCTAACTAAGATGTAATGTAGATTGTGATGTAATGTCAAGTGTGTCCGGTGTTTTTGTTGAAAACATCTGGCAACCCTAACGGGGCCAGGCAGACACATTTCTGAGCATCATGTGGGGCAAGCCAGAGGAGCCTGCCTAGGGCTCCCCTCTGCCTCCGTGGGGCAGATCCGGTGGCTTGGTGGGCTGGATCCAGTCCACGGGCCATGTTTTGCCCAGGCCTGGTCTATATATAGATATGGTGCCAATACTGCAGTTAGCATGGGTTATGTTTTGTTAGATGTTACCGTGAATAACTGTGGTAGAGGACATGCCGAAGGAACTCCAGACCTTGTTAATAATAGTTACAAGATGATGAGAAAAATAATGCTACAGGTGAGGTTTTCAAATAGGACCTGTGCTCCTAAATCACTTAAATGCTTTTGAAAAGCTCACCCTTAATAAGTACAACATCTTTTAACAGAGCAAAACCAATTTTTCATTAAAACAAATATGCTTAACTTATCCCTTTGGAATCTGGAGAGTATCGGTGCAAGACTGACTGAGTTCCAGGAGTCTGTGATTATTATTTATCACGCAGGATTTATTATAATGTGGTCTAGTAAGTAGAAATGGTCACTGGGAGTTTGGACTCCTGGTGTCTCTTACTGCGTCAGTTGGTGCCTTCATAAACCTTGGACACCCCGAGGCCAACATTTTCACACACCGACACCCACAGCTAGACACCTGTATCCATTTAGAGAGCTACATTAGTGGCCTGAATTTTGAAGGTACTTTCAGAATTCCCATCAAAATCTAGGCGCTATGGAAGGTTTTGGCTTTAACTTTGGTGGCTCACTTTCCCCAATCCCTACCTGGCATAATACTAACCCAGTTTAGTAAAGTGTTCTGAGATACTCTGGACCCTGAGTAAGTGTGTTGAAAGTAGTGAATTATAGGACATGAATGCGTCCACCGCAAGCTTAACTTTCTTTTTCTGTCTTTTTCAGGGGTCTTGCAAGTACCCCAGCAGCAATCAGCCCAAACCGATTACTGGAGCCAACAGCATTTCTCCCAAGTGGAAGTAATGTCTCCCGAGACTGGAATCTGCCCCCTGCTAGCCCTGACACCAGGTGAGTTTAGTTATTGGATGAACAGGCTACTGCAGGATAGGATGAAGGAGAACCCTGTAGCCCACAAGACCTGAAACCATTTCCTCAGCTAATGTAGTGAGTTGTCTCCTCTGTTACCTCAACGGCCTTGTTAAACGCATGCTGCTACAATGTAAAACAAAACCTGGGGATGATCCTGCTTAAGTGCGGTAACTCATGTGGGTGACACAGCTGCAGACTGAAGGTTTCACGAGCTTCATTTTTAAAGTGGCAAGTGGGTGAAGGGAAGGAAGAGAATGGTAATGGGGGGAAGGGAGGAGGATGGAATGGGGACTTTACATAGAGAGACAAAACTAGAGCGATCAGTGTTGAAATCACAAAGTATCTGGGAAATCACAGTGTTTTTCTGTCCTCTGTGTAAGGAGACACTGGTGGTTAATTATTCGGGGGGAGAGGGCTGGTGGTGATATCCTGCTGTCATGGGTTGGGCCCCCCCGGTTCTCCCCTCAGGCTTACAGCCCTGTCATCATTGGGGTGACCTACCCGCGCACCTTCCCCCCACCCGTGTTTCCCTAAGATCAGTTATGAGTTTCACGTAAGGTTAGTGGCCCGACTAGGAGTCCACTGAGTTCGTGTTTCCCTGGTTGTTAGTGGTCTGACGCGATGGAGGAGGGGGACTCGGGCCCACCCTCACTCTGGGTCCCGACCCAGGACCCTAAAGGCAGCGGTGCACTGACGCTGCCTGGTTGGTGGGGATTCCCCCGTAACTCATCAACCCTTGGGATATGGCTGAGGCGCCGCCACGGTCTCCTGCCCCCTTCCTGCGTCACTTCCTCCTCCTCGCTGGTCTCACTCCTCCCTCAGCAAGTAGGGTCGCCTCCCACGCTGCTGGTGGCTGCTCCAACCCCGCTGGGCTGGTCTCCCTCTGCCGGAGCAAGTCTCCCCCCTTCTCTGTCCTCTCCGGGCGTCTTTTGAAGGGCCCGCCTAGCGTGGCCCCGCCCCTCACTCCCGGGTGCCAGCTAATGACATCATCGGCCGGGAGTCCCTCGCTGATGACGTCTAGACCCCTGGCCACCCCCATGCAAGCGGGGCACGTTAGCTGGGGCGCCGCACGCACGCAGCCGCGTCCCTGGCTCCCGGCGCCTTCTGCCACCGCTGCTGGTCCCCCGGCCTCCTCGCCGGTGTGTCTCTTGCCCCTCGCGTGCCTGGGAGTGCGGGGTGCCGTGAGCTCCCGGGCGGCAAGAACCGGCGTCCCGTCACACCTGTCTACTCACATTCTGATCTTGTGGATTGTTTGAGCGTCAGTAATCCCTCCAGATCTCTCTACCCAACCCTCCTATCCTATTGCTCTATTTGTCTCCTCTCCCATTGTACTCCCTGTGCCTTTGTTATACCCCTTTCTTATTCTTGGACCCCCTCGGTCAAAGATGGCAAAGACCCTGAGGGCAGATGGCAGCTTGATCCTTGAGCACTGAGCTTCCAGCTCCACTTGCTGCTACCTGCGAGACCTCTAAGTGATCTGTTGCTCCTGTCAGGGAGAGGAGATAAGCCTCTCTCTTCTACTCCAAGTAGGGGACAGAAATAGGGCAGTCTAATCTTCATTTTAAGGGGGAAACTGAGGCACAGCATGGTGAATTTATTTGCCTGAATTTGTCCAGTGAGTCAGTGGTAAAGCTAGGATTAGAGTTTATTGGTTCCTGACTGCCAATCTCATTCTCATTCCATACATAACAGAGTGTCTTTCCGGGGTATATGTCATTTTTTTCTGTAGGGTAGTGTTAATTAGTTCTTGAAAACTTGTGCATGAAGTCAGTGACTTGGCCTGATCTTGAGAGATGCAAAACATCCACAATCCCCTTTAACAGGGATAACCTTAAAAAACAAAGAATAGTCCTGCAGCACCTTAAAGACTAACAAAAATGTAGATGGTATCACGAGCTTTGTCCATGAAAGCTCATGATACCATCTATGTTTTTGCTAATCTCTGAGGTGCTGCAGGACTATTCGTTGTTTTTTTCAGTCTTTTCAGTTACAGACTGAGGCTTCCCCTCTGAAATTTTTTAACAGGGATGAAATGATTCACTTTATTCCTTGCCCTTTAGGGTGCATCTAGGCAGCACCCTTCTGTAGGAATAAGCTACTCAATTTGGCACTGTCTAAAGACCTTATTTTGAAATCTGGCACTGTGAAGACAATGCCAAATTTCAAAATGAGGCACTATTCCGATAAATCCCTTAACCTTTGTGGAAGGAGGATTACAGGGATGCCAGAATAGCACACCCACTACTTCAGGAGATAGTGGAAGGCTTTAAAGACATGGCGTTGCTATTTTGGGATACTTCTGGTATCCTGAAATAGCGCCACAGTCTTGACGTACCCGTAGGCTGTAGAGTTCTTGCTTTTTCGTAGATAAACTTGCTGATGAAATATACCTACTGTTGTGTTTAAATCTTAAAGAGCTTGTACATTTTCACCACATGCTGTCCAGCCGGCCACTGTAATTACAGAAGCTAATTAACAGTATGTAAAAATGTTGAAATGGTAAAACACCTCTGTGGATTAAATTATATTGGATCCTTTTACCATACTGGAATCTTCCAAAGGGAACAGAGTCAGTGCATAAAAGAGACTCAGTGCATAATAAATTGCCAAGGGATTATGCATCATCTGTCTACACCAGTAAAGAGGCAAGACTTCTAACCCAAGTGAGTGTGAAGCTGTTATGAGTTGTAAAAGTGTTGAAGCCTCTCACATATGGGAATAAATGTGTCTTTCCACTCTAGCATAGTTTGGTGTTTTGACTTGAGCAGTGCTTTCATTTAACGCTCTTAATAACACAGTGGGAAAACAACTGTGAGGAGAGGGAAAGCAAACTGATAATCTGATTCATTTTCTGTGCATGCATCAGGCCTACAGCAAAATACAGAGTTATGTTGTCAAATCCCTTTGCGAGGAATAAGAATGAAGGCTTGGGTGAAAGTTGTTTGCTCTTCCATAGACTCCTCTAGTGCTTCGTAAAACATCACATCAAAGATTTAATGATAAAGCCCGTGATGGTTTGGGATTTTTTTGATTTGCATATTGAGGTGAATTAATATTTTTTTATTTTTAATTTCATGCTTCCAACATTTGGGATAGAAGAACCAGTAAAATGAAAAATCGTATGGGGTAAGAGTGTGGCATAAGTGTAAATTACTGGCCTGTGGGCATAGAAAACAAAGCATTGTCTCTTCACCTCTGGACCGGGGCCAGCGAATGAGTTGGAGACCTCACTGGGCAATGTCCCAAATCATATGCATAATTCATTGCATTCATCAGTTACTGCCCGAGTCTGAGCTGTTATGGAAACCAAATAAACTGTTACCTCAAAAAGCAGGCAGCCTGCAGGCCGTTGACACTTAGTGTGGTAATGCTCAGTAGGTAGCTGGTCTGTGAATAGAAGAGTTCCGCAGTTCTGCCCAAAATATGTCTCTAGTGGGTGGCTGCACAGGGACCTGCATTCTTTCAGCACATCTGTGGCCTTCCTGTTCATCTGTGAGCTCCTCTCTGCCTTGCAAGGGGAACTTCAAGGCCCAACCTTCCATGGTCCCACAGAAGAAAGCCCCATGAATCATACTTTCTTGGACTTCTGATATCCTCTGCCAGTTACTACTTGCCCCTCATTAATGTACTATGATATGGCTGTCTGTCAGGGGCTACACTTACCTTCCCTAGGGGACCTGCACAACATTGGTTGTTACTGGTCCCTTAACCAGGGCAGACATGGAGCCAGATACTCACCTCGTGTAGATCAGTACAGCTCCATTGACTTCCGTGGAGATGCGCTGATTTACACCAGCTGAAGGTCTGACCCAGAATATTGATTATTTAACGAAAGTCCCATCACCAGAATATTGATTATTTAACGAAAGTCCCATTTAACGAAAGTCCCATACAACATGCAATGGAAACCACTGATCTGTTGCAATGTTATGCATTCACATGGAATTATGTATATTGGGGTGAGCATAAATATGAGACCCCATTACAGTCCAGTGTTTTAATTTATTTCATATATGTGCGGAGGTTGTCTTGGTGTAAGGAAAAGGAAAAAAGTAACTCAGAAGATAAGCCTGGCCATCCCTAACTACAGAAACGAATTTCCCAAATGTCCCTAATGCCTATACACATTGAAGATGTGCTAGATGTTCAGAGCTGATTTACAGAATGCTTGGTCAGTGCCAAGGGGAGGTATTTCAAAGCCAGTGAGTTGAAAACCCGCAGGTCCTGTGATGGCAGGAACCATATAATCCCTGTTTGCCCCCACCCAATTTACTGTAATTTGTTTCTCACGCTGAGGAACTTTTCAGGAGTCCTGTAGTATGTTCTTGTTTATTTTTGTTACACTTATGCCTGAAGGCCCCAATCAAGGATCAAGCCCCTTTGGGCACAGTCTGTATCCAGTAATGCCCCGATACAGATTTATTCCAACTAACCAGGTCAATAAAACACAGTGTGAGGGATGAGTTAACAGTGTAGAAGCTGTAGAAACCATTTTATGTTTAGCTAAAAGCCATTTTGTATAACAGAAACCATTTTAGCTTTTTGCCTTTGCACGTAAACCAAAGTAAACTTTTTATTACCCCATGTGCCAGGCCAAGACAGATGTGCTATTGGAATGTGTTAATTGGGTTGGTTTAGACAGGGGAGGTACTCCCTCGTACCTGTCCGCCATCTTGTTGATAAGGCTTTATTTTCCTAGCTTAATTAATGATTTCTGTAATTGGATGCCCTAACGTCAGGCTGTTTGGTCAAGGGTATAAGAATACTAGGATTGATTGTATTAGCAGCCTTACTGGGCCCGACTTTGCTGGAACCACGTTTGGCTCACTTTGCTTTTATTGGCCAATAAAACTGTCTGTTTAGCCGCGTAAACTAAGTGAGGCTTTTGCTTCAACAACAGTAAGACATCAGGGCTACGTCTACACTGGCCCCAAATTCCGGAAAAGGGATGCAAAGCAGGTAAGTCAGAATATGGAAATCCACGGGGGATTAAATATCCCCCGCGGATTTAAATAAACATGTCCGCCGCTTTTTTTCCGGCTTGGGGAAAAGCCGGAAAAAAGCATCTAGACTGGCACGATCCTCCGGAATAAAGCCCTTTTCTAGAGGATCTCTTATTCCTACCTGAAAGTTGGGCCTTGAAAGTAGGAATAAGAGATCCTCCGGAAAAGGGCTTTATTCCGGAGGATCGCGCCAGTCTAGATGCTTTTTTCCAGCTTTTCCCCAAGCCGGAAAAAAAGCGGCCGACATGTTTATTTAAATCCGCGGGGGATATTTAAATCCCCCGCGGATTTCCCTATTCTGACTTACCTGCTTTGCATCCCTTTTCTGGAATTTGGGGCCACTGTAGACATAGCCTTCAAGTGCTTTCTGGAATTTGGGGCCAGTGTAGACATAGCTTTCAAGTGTTTTTCTTGTCATTAGTTATACCCCTGGTGTCACATAGGTCACACTCTAATCCTTGGCTACTCAGGGAAACGGTGTAAAGATCTAATCCTCCTCCGATTGAGGTCAATGGCAGAATCCCCAGTTCTGTCCATAGGGGAAGATCATTTCCTGTGGGGTTTTCTGGGCTTTACACACTATTTTTTCTCATTATTTTGATTCTTCCCCCCCCACACACATATTTTGGCTTTTCTTGTTTTTGTATTTCATAGGCTCTGCCAGTTCATAACATTGTCTGCGTCTGACTCCATTCTCCCCCCCTCCCTTAAGACAATGTAATCAGTGTTACTGCACTCCATGTGGGAATCACTGGGCTGAATGTGCTGGCCTGGCTTGGGCCAGAGGTCACATGAGATAATCAGAATGGTCTCTCCTGGCTCTAGAATCTATGAACCAATGTTTTCTTTCACACAATAGGCCAGAACAGCTGTTGTGAAAAGATGGCTCCATAAAACGTCTACAGTCTCTACTACAGTCTCTTAAAAGTGTCTATGTGATTTTTTGTTTAAAATGAGTATTTATTTATGAGTGAAACAACAACTTTGGAGTAAATGTGTATCAAGGCATTTTTCTTTGAATTCAAATTCAGTCTGTGTTATAGATGCTGGATTCAGACTGTTGGAGACTGAACTCTGTAGTTCCAGAACAAGTTACAACCCGGGCATTCTCATTGTCACGGAAGCTGCCCATTCAGGCGTTGGCCTCCATGTTCATTCCCCACAATACAACCAAATACAGAGCTGTCTTTGTGCCAGAAACCTGTCCCTTGATGAGTGAAATGAGACCACAGATTCTTTTTGCATAAGCTACCTAACAGCCAGGTTATTTTTCCACTGGAGGGTCCATCATGTTAGGCACAGTGCACGTGCATGGTCAGAGATGGTCCTTTCCCTGAGGAGCATACACTCTAAAGAGATAAGACAGAGAAAATGTGGAAAAATGGAGGCATTATTCATTTCAGTGTAAGGGGAATTGAGGCAGAAAGAAACTATATGACTAGCCCAAGATCACCTTGGGAGTCTGTGCCACAGCAGGAAACTGGAACCAGATCTTCTAAATCCCAGTTCAGGACCTTCACCACAAAATGCTGCCTAGATGTGTCTTCTGTACAATGTTAAAATGTCCTTGTGAGCCTCACAGCCCCTCTATTCAATAAAGAGATCTTTATAATTTTTGTAAATTCTTCATTTTATCCCAGAATCACTTACTAAGAGAGACTGCTTATTATGCTGAATGGAGAACTGGCAAATGGGAACGCTTTGAGTTCTAATTCCATCTCTGCAACTGATTTGCTCTGTAGCGTGAAACGCTGCTTTTCTTCCTATCGTGATTGAGTAAATAAATCAAAAACCAGTGTGGGTGCAGGTACTTCCTCCAAAGGCATGTTGTCATGTGTGGAAAAAAAGTGCTATGTAACTGCTAAGGCTGATGATTTATTTCAGGCTCCCGATTAACAATATTACTGGCGTCACAGAAGTCATGTTAAACAAACCCGCAGTGTATGGTTTTTATTACCACTGAAGAATAAATCCATTCTCCCTCTCAGCCCAAGAGAATCACATGCTACTACCGGGTTATCTATGCTGTCCTCGGCTGGTGCATTTTCTACAGAGAGCTTGTCTGCTGAGAGCCCCATTCCCAATGCTCGGTATTCCGAAGAGTCCAGTGCAGAATGTGCGGACATCGGAGGAGTCAGCAGTGGCATGGAAAGTTCGAAAGGTATGAATTGTTTTCCAAAGCAATCTATCTTTTTGCTCAGCCTCTATACGAAGGGCCCTGTAATTATAGTGCAGGTCAGAGATACTCAGACTGCAGTTCACAAGCCACAAATGGCTGTGTAAAATGGCACCTGCCGCTCTTTGCAGCACATGATAGTAAAACAAGGCATGATTTTTTACTATGTTATTAACCGGTTGTAGTTGATATGTCAGCCATCTTGTTTTGAGAAGGTTTAGCTATTAAATATTTTCCCTTTCACAGGGTATATCTAGATTACATGCCTCTGCTGACAGATGCATGTAAATTAGACTACCCGACATAGTCAATGAAGCGGGGATTTAAATATTCCCCGCTTCATTAAAATAAAAATGGCCACAGCGCTGTGCCGGCTCAGCTGATTGTCGGCACAGCACGGCAATCAAGACGCGCATCGGTTGACAGGGAGCCCTTTGTCGACTGCTCCTGTAAACCTCATTTCACGAGGCATAAGGCATGTAGTCTAGACATACCCACAGGCTGTGTCTAGACTCGCAAGTTTTTCTGGAAAATCAGCCGCTTTTCCGGAAAAACTTGCCAGCTGTCTACACTGGCCACTTGAATTTCCGGAAAAGCACTGACGATCTCATGTAATATCGTCAGTGCTTTTCCGGAAATACTATGCTGCTCCTGTTCGGGCAAAAGTCTTTTTCCGAAAGACTTTTGTGCAAAAGGGCCAGTGTAGACAGCACAGTACTGTTTTCCGCAAAAAAGCCCCGATTGCGAAAATGGCGATCGGGGCTTTTTTGCGGAAAAGCGCGTCTAGATTGGCCACGGACGCTTTTCCACAAAAAGTGCTTTTGCGGAAAAGCATCCTGTTAAATCCAGTTAAAAATCCAGTTAAAAAAGCATTTTCGGAAAATCATGCCAGTGTAGACGTACCCACAGTGTTTAAATAAGAACATATAGCACATAGTAAATGACACAATGAATTCACATGTCTGTACCTCTTTTGTTTGATGCTGATGGCTAATTTGGCTCCTGAACTACTAAAGACTGAGTATCAGTGGTGTAGCTGCATCCAGATTACAATGCAATTGCATTGTCTCAACTTCTTGATTTATGTAGCAGTCACTAGAAGGGATCACTACACGACAGAAAATGATGACCATGTGCATACAATATAGTTAATGTACTGGATTTTTAATAGTACATGTCTTAAGAACACCAAAATGGTGGCAATTAATTTAGACATGTAGTTACCCTTCCACATCTATGAACTAGGGGTAGTCACTAGGGCTGGTTCAAAATTTCCTATTAACTCTTTTTCAACAGAAAACTGAGCTTACTGCTAAAAATATTTTGTAGAAATTTTCAACTTTTTATTGAAAAACAAAAATGCAAAAAATTTCAATTAAAAAATGTCTTTGTGGTGCCTCAAAATGAGTTGTCATCTGTGTTCCCCATGCCCCCATCCTGCTCAGGGCTGAGTTCCTTTTCCTTTGGTTCCATAAGACCATTGAAAAAGTCACCGGATATTTGATGAGGCTTTCTCCACTGGGAAAGTTCCACTTGAATCGCACTTGGATGTCTCAGCTGATTCAAGTTTTGAAAGAATGACTGCTCGCTGGGGGCTTGTGAGGAAGAAGGAAGGCCAGTCCCGGATTATATAGCCTTGCTCAATGAGAACAATATTTTTTTGAAATTACTTTCTAATTTGTATGTTTGTTAATCCTCGCAGATGCTGAACTTTCTAATGACACTCTTGAAAAAACCCCCAGCCAACCCAAGTCCAGTTCTCCTGGTGTGCCCCAGATGGTAAATCGACCAGGCTCCGACGCCAAACCCGTCCTACCTCCAATCCCATCAGGGCGGAAAACGTCAGACCCTTGATGGTCGACATCAGCTGAGGCGTTGCCTTTGTTCATGCTGATCTCTACAGTCTAACTTGAATACTGGTTTTGGTATAATTTTTACACACACACACACACACACACACACACACACACACACACACGTCTATCAAAGTATATTGTCTGTCTGAATCCATCTCTGATTAATTCTGAATCACTCTTCTTTTAAAAAAAAAAAGTTATTTATAACTTTATTTAAAAAAGTCCTTTCTGCTTTTCCCAGAGCTAGAAATGATTTCCCCAGATGCTCCCCATTTGAAAATGTCTCTATTTTCCCCGAGATCCATGTGATCAGATCTTCCAGGGATATTTTTTCTATTTCCCTGACTTAATTGAGGTGTGAAAGCCTGAAGGCTCTAATGATAATGTTGCTTATAGCGCAAGACTGCTGAATTAGTTTTTGCTAAGAGGGATTTAATGTGATACTTAGATTTAAGTGAGGAATGGAAACTACTTGGTTCCAAGGCAGCCTTTTAGAAAAGCTCTGTCTTTTAGAAATGAGAAGTTATTTTTGATACACATGTATATTTAAACAAACAACCCACAAAGGAATCATCAGAACAAATCCTTAATTAATTTGATTTTGTTAACGTTTTAACTGTTTGCTGATTATGCTAAGATCTGCTTTTGCCATGTATATTAGATATGAGTCTCAATATTAAATAAACCTCATACATTAACCTTTTTCATTACTAATTTATAAGACTATAGTTGTAGTTATTGAACAAATAACCTGCTCTGATAAGCTTGCACTGGGAGGCCCTAGTGTTTATGTAACACCAACGATGTTCCCGCTAAGGTGCGCACCTGCACAAAAAATTCTTTCCTCACCCACCTCCTCTGGAGAGCCGTGCAGCAGCACTTGTGCGGCAGGTGGGACCGACTGAGATGGTGTCTTGAGGGAGCTGCTGGGGTCGGGGGCTGGTACCTGCTGTGGCTGCGTGGTGGGGGAGAGGGGGTGGAAGGCCTGCTCCAGTGGTCAGGGCTGCCACGTGGCAGGGTGAGCCAGGGCCTGTTCTGGCGGCTGAGGCGGCTGAGGCCAGGAACTGAACCTGCCACATGGCCGGGGGTAGGAAGTGTCTGCTCCGGCGACCAGGCACATGTGTGTTAATAAATTGGGTGCCACGGTAGCACACATCCAAACCAGCATGACCTCAATATTAGTGCACAAGCCAAAACTCACTCCACTCATGTTTGGAAGATCTTAGAGGGACCACTGAACACCAGTCATGTGCATGGCACATTGTAAAGATGGGAAGACATGCTCCATGATCTGTTATACCAGAGTGGATTAAACTTTGCCTGTGCAAGTGCTCTAGATTTACTCCAGTGTAACAGATCAGAATTTGGCCATGGCCAGTAAAATCTAAATTAGATGGACCAAAAAAAAAAAAACCCAACAGATCGTGGCATATAAGGGATAAATCAGATATGTGGAACTTAAAGAAAAATACAGTGATGCCTGTAAAAGAACCCAACTTTAAGAACGACGTGAGGGTCCTGTGGCACCTTAGAGACTAACAAAAATATCACGAGCTTTTGTGGGTAAAACCCACTTTATCAGATGAATTGGAGTGGAAATATAAGAAACCAATGTTGGGCCCAGAAAAACAAGTCCTGGTCAACATTATACTAAGGAAAGTTAACAAAGGCTAATTTCATAGGCCTCTGAGTATTCTTGACCAGAACCAGGAAAGTGGTTCAGACAGAGGCGCACCCTCCATGCTGGTTTAGGTTATAAAAGTAAGATAGTGATAAATTACATATTTGTACCTACTGCGGCTTGCTTTGAGAACTGGTCAGAAATTCCCTGTTTTTGTTCCCCTTCGCTAATCTTACCTCCCTATTTTTTTGCCCTTTGTTTGTACCTGACTCTCTTGTCTCCTTGTTCCTGGTACCTGCCTTTTGTGATTGATAAGAAAGTTGCTGATGCATTATGAAGCGCTTCTGGCCACAATGTATGGTTGGCTAAGATATGCATAGATATTAAAAGTTTCTAGAAAGGGGGTAAGTGGCTTGGGTGAAGAGCTTATGACGCGACGGAACTGTCTTTATAAGCCTACCTGTTACTAAAATCGCGGCTGCTTCTCTTTGGAGACGGGCCGCTCTCTATTGTTGTGTGCACTCTTCAATAAAGAGCTTGTGATTGGACTTTGCTGGTGTTGCCTGTCTCTTTGCGGTGAGACAACGAACCGAGCTGTCTGGGCTAGAGTCCCTGACACCAAGATATATATAAACAGCAGAAGTAGTACCTGTCAATTGTAGGGCCCGTGTTACTGAGGCTAATTAAGTGGGCTGGAGTTTACTATCTAGAGAGCATTCTAGATAGCCTTCCTCTGTAGCATGGGGCACAGATCACAGCTAGAGGATTCTCTGCATCTTGGGGTCTTCAAAGTATTTGAAGGCTTCAATATCTGAGATAGAGGTGAGAGGATTATTCTAGGAGGGGTGGGTGAGATTTTGTGGCCTGCACTGTGCAGGGGGTCAGACTAGATGATCATAATGGTCCCTTCTGACCTTAAAGTCTATGAGTCTATGAGTCTAAGTATCCCCAAACTTCATTTAGCTCTACACCACCTCTATTAGAAGATACATCTCTTCTTGGGAACCAGTTTGTACAGCAGGTTTTGCATGAACATAAGGCCAACATTCATTGGGTCAGGCATGCAAAGGTACCCTCATCAAGACAAGTTCCCAAAGGACATAGCATCCTTACAGATTGAGTGCTATCAGGGTCTATCTCCAGCTAGGTGATCTGGCTTCAGGCGATTTGACAGGATGCTCAGTCTGTCACTCACTGGTGATCTTCTTGCTTTTGGCAATCATGTGCTCGCTGACCATGTTGCAGCATTCCTTGGTAAATGTGCAATTGCCAGGGGGTATAGACACCTAACGCTGCAGCAAAGTGCCAGAAGTGATTTTTCAAAAGTTCCTACATAGATTAAACAAAATACAGGACTATGTAGCACTTTAAACTAACACGGCTACATTTCTATCACTATTCTACATAGATTAGGCACTTAACTTCCAGTTGCAATAGGAGCTAGGTACATAGATGCCTAAATACCTTTCAAAACCTGGCCCCTACTAGCTATTTCTGCCCTGCTGACTTACATTGTAACCTGCCAGGGGTAGTCGTGTCAGTCTGTAATTTTAGAAAAGTGATAAAAATGTAGCCATGTTAGTCTGGTGTAGCTGAAACAAAATACAGGACTATGTAGCACTTTAAACTAACACGGCTACATTTATTAGGTGATGAGCTTTCGTGGGCCAGACCCACTTCCTCAGATCAAATAGTGGAAGAAAATAGTCACAACCATATATACCAAAGGATACAATTAAAAAAAATGAACACATATGAAAAGGACAAATCACATTTCAGAACAGACGGGGGATGCAGGGGGAGGGGGAAAGGAAGGTGAAAGTTTTTCAGTTAAAAGTATTTCCGCAAAAGCGCGTCTAGATTGGCACGGATGCTTTTGCGCCATTTTAGCTATCGGGGCTTTTTTGCGCCAAACAGTTCTTCCCTGTCTACGCTGGCCCTCTTGAACAAGTATTATTGCGCAAGAGGGCTTTTTCCTGAGCGGGAGCGTGAAAGTATTTGCGCAAGAAGCGCTGATTTTGTACATTACAAAGTCAGTGCTCTTGCGCAAATTCAAGCGGCCAGTGTAGACAGCTGGCAAGTTTTTGTGCAAAAGCAGCTGCTTTTGCGCAAAATCTTGCCAGTCTAGACGCACCCCAGGTGTGTGCAAATGTGCATCACCAATAGAAACAAAAACCCTAACTGTGAGTGCTCTGCTAATTAGCTGGGCAGCATTTGAATCTCTCCAGAGCGGCTGCACAAGCGCACAGGGAACACGGCTAGGGATTCTGAGTACAGAGTGGCTTCTGACGAAGCATATATTACGTTTTTTTTAAATCAACTTTGTTCCAGAAACAATGTATGCACTGTCAGTGGTTCCTTAGTGCTTCGCCTGGCAGTGGAAACCATGTTCTTCGGCACATCCTCCACACCAGGACAGAGACGTTCCCAAATTGGAAGGCAGGAAAAAAAAAACCAACAACTCAGGAGAGCCTCTTCACCAAGTCAGTGCCTGCATCAGAGAATCATAGGGTTGGAAGAGACCTCAGGGGTCATCGAGTTGAACCCCCTGCCCAAAGCAGGACCAACCCCAACTAAATCATGCCAGCCAGGGCTTTGTCAAGCCGGGACTGAAAAACCTCTAGGGATGGGTCAGGTTGAGTGTGATGAATGGGAAAAGTTTAAACCATAGACAGTCAGTCCTAGACAGTCTCCAGGAATGCTAGAGAATCAGGGAAATGCTGCCAGGAAGACCAGGAAGCCAATGAAAAGAGAGTGGGTTATTTTTTTCTAAAGCGGAAGCAGTGACCTTCCTGTTCCAGTCTTTGTGTGACCAGAGCAGAGCAGGGAGCCAGGAGGTAGGCCAGGGAGCCCGCATGGACTATCCAGTGACATCCATGCCTGGGGAAGGACTAAAACTTGGAACAACAGACATGTAGGTAGAACAGGTGACATCCAGCAACTGCAAATTGTTTTGCTCTATGGCTTGCAGCAGGGCTGTGTGTGTCACATCACAGAGTCCCACGGGGCAGCTCCTGACTTGGCTGTAGGAATGCTTCAAGGCGTTTGTACTGCGTGCCACAGGAGAGCAGAGCTGAGGATGTGGTGAAGAGCCGGACTTTCCCAGGGTTCAAAAAAGAGCTAGATACACTCCTGGAGATTAAGTCCATCAATGGCTATTAGCCAGGTTGGGCAAGTTTGGCGTCCCTTGCCTCTGTTTGTCACAAGCTGGAAACGGGCGTCAGAGGGTGTGGGTCTCTTGATGTTTATCTGTTGTGTTCATTCCCTCCGGGGCATCTGGCATTGGCCTCTGTCAGAGGGCAGGGCACTGGAGCTACGTCTAGATTACAGGTTTCTTGCACAAGAAGCTTTTTTTGAAAGAGATCTTCCAGAAAAAAACATCTTGCGAAAGCGAGTGTCCACACTGCAAAGGTGTGTTGAAAAAGGGGAGGAGTAGCTCAGTGGTTTGAGTGTTGGCCTGCTAAACCCACGGTTATGAGTTCAATCCTTGAGGAGGCCATTTAGGGATCTGGGGCAAAAATTTGTCAGGGATGCTACTTGGTCCTGCTGTGAAGGTAGGGGACTAGACTTGATGACCTTTCAAGGTCCCTTCCTGTTCTAGGAGATAAGCAATCTCCATTAATTTTCAATTTTAAAAGATTGCTATGGACAGAATGGTCACTAGGGCACCTGTGCTTTTTCCTCTTCCCTCTTCTTCCAAAAAAACCTCCCTCTTCCCCGTCCACACACGCCTTTTTGCAAAAGAGCTCTTTCGGAAAAAGGCTTCTTCCTCGGAGCATGAGGATTACCAATGGCGCAAAACTCCTCTGTTCTTTTGATTTACTGTCCAAAGAACGTGCTTGCAGTGTGGACGTAACTCACGTTTTGTCGGAAAAACGGCCGTTTTTCTGACAAAACTATAGTCTAGACATAGCCTGGGCTAGATAGACCTTTGGTCTGACCCAGTCTGGCCGTTCTTATGTTCACCAGTGAAAACCATCAAGTCTAACCTGCTGTATACAGTGTGGGGGACAAACCGGCCTGATTCTCCAGCACTGTACACCTGACCTCACAGCTACGCAATGTGGGGGTAAAAATGCCTGTTCTGCTCTAGTAGAGCATCGGTAACTGACTGCAAGGAGCACAGGCCTTCCTGCGCCAGAACATGGAGGCCTTAGAAGGAACAACAGTGTGAACTATGAAACCCCATGCTCGGGGTTCTTGGCTGGGGATCAAAGCCAACGTTCCTCTGTCTTTAAAAGCCCAGCAACTGCAGCCCCTTCCCAGACCTACTTCTAATGAAGCCGCACAGATGCTGACTGCAGGGCTGTTGCTCATTTCTGAAATATGGCAAAAGAAAGCTCAAATCTTGTTCCAAAAATACCTGTTTACAGACCATTGTTGCATTCCGGGGGGGGGGCTACCTC